ACTGTCAACTGCACGATATGAAAATTGGGCAAAATCAGTGGTTAGTGTCTGATGATTTCCTATTTTTGACCAAATGAACCCAAAGAGAGAAACAAATATTTAATCATTTTCTTCCTCAACATTGTAGCAGAGTGACTTCTCCAATTATTGCGAGCAATGAACTATTGCGAACTTTGAATTTTTAGTTTTCAACCAATTGATGCTTCTCTCTCTCTAAAAAAAAATGAAAATTTCCTTCGGAACGAGTTTTTCACTTTCCTAAATGACTTACAGTTCCACCATAAATTCATTCTTTGCGGCCACGAAATGTTGTTACTGTAGGCTATGGTGACTCGAGGTACTGGCTGATTTGCATTTCTGAAAATTTAGACCGAGAAATTGGCCAGATATGAAATTGTAAATTCGTCTTTGTTTTTGGTCTAACGAACAACCAAATCATATCAACGCAGAAATTTATTTGAATACACTTCATCCAAAGATAAAGAACAAGAAATATAGATTACAATCGAAAACTCGTCTACTCTTTTGTTTAAGAGACGGTTATGTTATAAAATAATTTGTTTTATTGATTCGCCCCAAAATTGCATGTTGATCTGCAAAACAACACGTACCTCACTGAACTATGTCGTTTGTACCATTTACTCTTTTCTGGTATTTTCAGTCTATGCAGATAATTCACAAATCTGATTTGGTACGTACAATCAGAAGTGAAGCTCATGAATATATTTTGACATAGTCCGGTCACCATTTTACTACAAATTGTAAATAACTTAAAGTTCTTATCTTTGTCGAATCTTCTCTTCATTCCAGTGGTTCCATTTGTCCTCTTGACCAACAGTGCACAACTATTTTCTCTAATATGGCTTCCTAAAATATAAGCGTAAAATTCCACTGATAAGCAACAGGCTAAATCTTGGTTAACTGGATTTTGCTCCGATTGCACAAGTCAAGTCGGAGGAACTTTTGCTCTTCTATTTGACTTGTATTAGGCCTGTCACTGAATATGCATGCCCTGTTTATCATCATAGCCTCCCGCAATACCTTTCAGTAGATCTTGAGAGATGTCAAAGGCGAGCTTTACGTATTATCTATCCAGATTGTTCGTACAATGAGGCGCTTCTTTTGACTGGTCTAGTTCCCTTACACAACCGCCGCGAATATAAGCGTCGCACAAGCTCTAAGCTTACTTCCCAGTCAATTTGATACTCTTTTAGCCTCCACACCATTCGTACTCGAAATAGTTTTATCCATCACTATGTCCATAAAGCAATGATGTAATATTGTTTTTCTCTTAATTATATATTTTTGTCTTTTTAATTAGTTCTTAGCCATGTATTTTTTTGTAGTATATATTTTATTGTAAATCAAACGTAATTCAGCCTGTGGCTGCAAGGTTCTTGATAATAAACTATCTATCTATCTATCTATCTCTCGATTCATAAACTCCACAAGTTAAAGCAGAAACGTGAAACACTGGAGTGCTTCAGGACCTAAGAATTCAATTATTCAATACACGGGGCCTCGTAGAAGACTTAAGACGTGTTCTAGGTTTTCTGAACAAAATGTTCTGATTGCTTCTCTTTGTTCAAATTTTTCGTATATTCTGTTTAAGAACTTGGTAAGAAACTTCAGTTTTATCCCATAAATGTACTGTTTCTTGCTTTTGGCGACCGACGCCGAAAGCCGACAGCTCGCGCACGTGTTCACTAGCGAAGGTAACATTCTGCAACTTAACTCTCATATTTGCCAAAAGAACATTTCTGTATTTACCTTTATTGAAGTAAAGTATACACCATGCCATGAACGTTTCTTCATACATCTTCAAAGCTCACTTCAGCTCGTATGCAGAGCTCATCATACAAGTCCTAACACATCGACGACTAACGTGGTTTGGGCTGAATTCTTCGATTCTCATGAATATGAATTAGAAAACAACATCCAATCACTGATGTTGACACGTGCACGATTTGTGGCACATTTTCAGCAGCCAGTGATTCAGAAAGAAAGCCGAAAGAATAGTTCATTCTTATTCCCTCATTGGCTCTTAGCATGTCGAAGAGCGCTTGTAACATTTAATTTTTCTTCATTATTTTGTGATCGTGGGATGACTATTTCTAGAAGAAAAGTTGCACACTTATTATTTTTAGGACTAAATAAGCGTCAAGGATAATATGAAAGGATAATTTTCATTTCTATAGATTTGAACAATATTCTTGTGGTTAGTTGAGTATGAAAAAGAAGGAAGAGGTAATGTGATCTGTGGACGAGGAAAGGTATCTTATATAGTTGAGGATGAGACAAGTTCTAAAGATGCAAAAGAATAAAATAATTTAATCGATAATAGTATTCCTCAGAGAGAGAGGAAAAAGAACGACAAAAAGGGAATTTAGCCGTTCCTGCGATGGAATGAACCTGGTACGCCTGTTTCGCAAGTGGAGCTCACATCCGCTAGGCAACACGGCAATCTGCCGATATCAGCGGCTTTTTGGAATTAATTTTAATAGAACGCAAAAAGAGCAAAACCAAAAAGTTCGAAAAGGAAAATTAAGTACAACAACTTAATTTACGCGTTTGCCGAACCCTCTATTGGAAAAGTAACGGAAGAGTAATCGCTCATGTGCTAACTACGAAATAAAAGTAACTTTTTTTTTGCTTGCGTTGCATGCCTATGTATTTTCTATAATCGGTTGAGGAATTTTTCTCAAATTTTCGCTGTCTTCACAGCAAGCTATAAAATAAATGAGAAAATAACTGCAATCTCATTGGTATAAAAAACTATACTCTTTTGTACCTTTCAATCCATAGATTTTCATAAAAGCAAAAGAATGCAATTTCTATCGATCTGCTGGCTTTAGCCTTCAAGTACAGGAACTCAATTTCTGTTTCTCTACCGACTACTGTACAGTTCCTGGTAAATTCGACAGGGAAATTTGGTTTTATTGCTGATAAGCTGGTCTATTATCCTTACCTGTTTGCTAGATAACATATTGGAATTGCAGGGAGAAGTTACAGGTTAATCACTCCTGGGTATTAAACCTCTAACTAAGGTTATTAGTTAAACTAACACTCTTGTGTTCTTCAAACATCCTACTTGGGTTACTTAGCCGGTTAGCCGATAAACAGTGCAGTAAGTCCTTACTCTCTAGTTCTCCTCCAAACAGTACTGCAGATATAGATCGAGATAAATTAGAACAGAAGGATGTGTTTTCTTTTTTTGTAATTTTGAAAAAACTGCTGTTTGACAAAACTATATAATAAAATGCAAGGCAAAACGAAGAGTGACAAGTGCGTCTTTAATTATTTGTTACAAATTTATAATGAAACTTCGGAGGCTCCTTGAGTGTAAAATTTTAAACAAGAAAAACAGACTGCCAGAATTCGAAGTCGATCAGGCCGATCGCATGATAAGCGAACTTCATATCCATAGCACTACTTGAAAACAACCTGAATGTAGACGGAATTTTTTCATTTCTGAATTATTTCAAGAAGTGATTATATTCAGGCTGATTATACTTCATATAAGGTTAGGCGTTCGCTGCAGTAATAAAATAATAACAAAATTTAACAAAAAAAAAAGAGATGTTGGCGCGCCGCGCGGAACTGCGGGAGTGAAGGCACTCATAAAGTATTTTCCTGCCCCTCACTCCCAGAGTTCTGCGCGCTAACATTGATATTTTTTTTTTTTGTCACTGAATTTTTTTGATCCACGCAACAGATTTCGCCGAAAAGGAAGGACTACTCTTAGTCAAGGTTAGGTGTAGTCTGTGTTGAGTAAGGTTCGTTTTCAGATAGTGCACATATTGACAAAAAGAATTGCACGCTAAGTAACGTCAGTGAGTATATTCCTCATAATGCTATCTATATATTTCTCAGGGTGCTGAAGGAGGATTTGTTTAACAATCAAGTGCTCCTTCAGCCTTTGATAATTTTCTCCATTCTCGTGATCTTAATGTGCGATTCGGGTTTTTTTTTGTAAGGACAATCAATACCGACTGTATAACTATTGAAAATTTGGTAGCGATCTCTGAGGCAATCAATTTAAAGCACATTCCTATGTTTTCTTAGGAGGTTTACAACGCTGCCATCGAAGAAGATAAATAAAAAATGAATAAAGGGGGTAAGTTTCTAAAGAAATTGTGGTGCTGCGTCGGTGGGAGGGTATAGCAGGTAATTTAGTGTTAACAACTGAGTTGAAAACGTAAATTGGTCACCGTAAAGGGTAAAAAAGCTGACGTTTCGAGCGTTAGCCCTTCGTCAGAGCGATTGGAGGAATTGTGGGTTGTGTGTGAGTTTATATGCAGAAAGTGAAGCTACGCTATTGGTGGGAATATGGTGACGAGAAAACAGGAATAAATTAATTGAATGAAAAGCGCTTGTTGATTCCGTGGGGATTAAGGGTGCCGATTTGGAAGATAAATTTTTGTTCTGGTGTTTTGCGGCTTTCCGAACTGCCTAGATGTAAGGAAAGGCCGCAAACTGCTCTATGCTGTTTAGAATGATTAGGGAGATTAAAGTATCTAGCCACTGGTTTGGATGCGTCCTTGTCATTTCTTTCCACGTCGCGAAGGTGTTCTCGGAATCGGTCACCTAGTCGTCTTCCTGTTTCGCCAATGTATAACTTATTGCAATAATTGCAAGTTATGCAGTAAATAACATTGGCGGAGGTACACGTTAAGTGATCAGCGATCTTAATGGATCTCTTGGGTCCCGATATTTTCTCTACGTTATGAATGAAAGAACAAGTTTTACATCTTGAACGAGCGCATTTAAAAGAAATGAACTTCTGGCCAAAAAGTTGCCTATGTTTTTGTCACGTGTGAATGAAATAAGTGGGGGTTGCGAAAAATCTCAGTTTTGGAGTTCTTACCAACTGATACCATTTGATAGGGAAAGCGGGGAACGGGGGGGGGGGGAGGGGAGGGGGGAAGGGGAAGGAGGAGAATGCTACCAACATCTGACTCTTGTGGTCTGATTGGTAGATACTTCAACTGACCACAAAATAATTGAACTGGTTCATACAGTTTACAAACGAAGCTGTACACATTTATTAATCTAGTCTAAAACTATCTATAGGGAGTTCTTCACGGGTCTTTTCTCAAGCTTCAGCAGAAACCTTGGATCAATAAACAGACGGAAGTGCTGTTCTCTGTCTGGCAATTTGGAGTTCTACTTTAATTTCACTATTTTTTATGTACTTAAATAAAAACAAGTGTATGTTTTTCAACTGTCCTTCCAAGTATTCTTCGAATACGTTATAATTTTGCTGTCAAAGCAAACATGCCATGGAGATGCATATCTCATCATGTTTGCCTGTTCCATCTACAGTGCCTTTCCGGGCCTTCTTGTAGTGCAAGCACCTGCACATGTTAATGTAGCTTGCCTGTAGAGTGATGTGTTTCTACTCCTGTCAAGTTCTGATACGACATTCAAGGTTGTGGACGATATCGTTCTCATTTGACTCTTAACAAACCTATCCACGGATTGCCGAAATGTTTATAGCCAGCAACAGTCATTTTCAGGAATACTCTGGCAGGTATGGTCTCTCTTTAAAAACTGAATATACGCGCAGAATTGCCTCGGAACATCATCATGCCACAAGTCCGTGTAAAACGCATGTATTTGAATTATCTCGAACGAAGCATACAATGATGCTAAACCAGATTGGTATGCTTCCTGCAATCTGATTCCATACAGAAATCCTGTCCACATGTACATTTGTATCCTTCAATAGAATGGCACCCAATTGCTCTCATCTTCAGGTCTAAGGTTTCCTGTTATAAGCAGAATTACATCCACAATCCACCAGATTCCCAGCCCCCCGAGTGTAAGGAGTTTACCCACAGCTGTGCCAGTGTGTCCCAAACAGAAGCGGTCTACGCCAAGGAATCCCAAGAGAATAGAATACAAAAGAGTTGTCACAAAACGGTGACCTGAATATCTGTGAAATGAAAAAAGAAGGAAAGATGGAATCAATGAGTAATTGCATTACTGAATTTCCGAACGAAGAAATAAATGAATGACTAAATAAAAAGAGGGTATGAAAGGACACGTGAGTAAATTAATGGATGCATGGATAAATGAATGAATGAATGAAGTAATACATGATTGAGAAAAGAATGAATTAATGAATAAATAGATCACAAAGGGAATAAAAGATGGAAAGATGGATCGATGACAGAGTGAATGAATATATATTAAAAAAAAAAAATTGGAAGAAAAAAAGCCTTATGCAAAAGAAGACGACCAGTCAATAAAAAACAACATACATCAGTAACATTCAATGCCAAACAATAACTTGAAATCTATTTCAGAGATCCAAAAAACTTTTTTACCAATTTTTTCAGAAATTAATGAGTGATCCTAGTCTATTTACCAAAATTATATGATGTAAATCAACAAACTAATATTCGTTAATTAACAATAAAACTAATCGGTATCACAATACTTAACATTAAAACAATCGCTACCATTGTCAGTATTTTACTGCAGCGAGGAATATCAAAATTCATAGTTCTCATCATATTTATTTTACAGTCTTTTAGTTTGCTCTTTATTACATGTAGCATCTTGCCAACGATATTTTAATGTAATTTCTTACGCACTTTTTCTTATCTTTTCTATTTGTTACGTGTAGTATCACGCGCACTGTTTGTTGTCTTTTCTATTTGTTACGTGTAGTATTACGCGCACTGTTTTTTCTCTTTTCTGTTTGTTATGAGTAGTATCACATGCACTGTTTGTTCTCTTTTCTGTTTGTTACGAGTAGTATCACGCCACTGTTTTTTGTCTTTTCTATTTGTTACGTGTAGTATCACGCGCACTTTTTGTTCTCTTTTCTATTTGTTACCTGTAGTATCCCGCGCACTGTTTGTTCTCTTTTCTATTTGTACCCTGTAGTATCCCGCGCACTGTTTGTTCTCTTTTCTATTTGTAACCTGTAGTATCACGCGCACTGTTTGTTGTCTTTTCTTTTTGTTACGTGTAGTATCCCGCGCACTGTTTGTTCTCTTTTCTATTTGTTACGTGTAGTATCCCGCGCACTGTTTGTTCTCTTTTCTATTTGTTACCTGTAGTATCACGCGCACTGTTTTTGTCGTTTCTATTTGTTACGTGTAGTATACTGCGCACTGGTTGTTGTTTTTTCTATTTGTTACGTGTAGTATCCCGCGCACTGTTTGTTGTTTTTTCTATTTGTTACCTGTAATATTCTACCCACTGCTTATTCTCTTTTCTATTTCTAACACGTAGTATCACGCGCACTGTTTGTTCTCTTTTCTATTTGTTACGTGTAGTATCCCGCGCACTGTTTGTTGTCTTTTCTATTTGTTACCTGTAGTATCCCGCGCACTGTTTGTTCTCTTTTCTATTTGTTACGTGTAGTATCACGCGCACTGTTTGTTGTCTTTTCTATTTGTTACCTGTAGTATCACGCGCACTGTTTGTTCTCTTTTCTATTTGTTACATATAGTATTACACGCACTGTTTATTCTATTTTCTATTTGTTACTTGTAGTATCACGCGCACTGTTTGTTCTCTTTTCTATTTGTTACGTGTAGTATCACGCGCACTGTTTGTTGTCTTTTCTATTTGTTACGTGTAGTATCACGCGCACTGCTTGTTCTCTTTTCTATTTGTTACCTGTAGTATCACGCGCACTGTTTGATGTCTTTTCTATTTGTAACCTGTAGTATCCTGCGGCGCACTGCTTGTTGTCTTTTCTATGTTTTACTTGTGGTATCCTGTGCACTGCTTGTTGTCTTTTCTATTTGTTATGAGTAGTATCCCGCGCACTGTTTGTTCTCTTTTCTATTTGTAACCTGTAGTATCCCGCGCACTGCTTGTTGTCTTTTCTATTTGTTACATGTAGTATCACGTGCACTGCTTGTTCTATTTTCTATTTCTTACATGTAGCATCACACACACTACTTGTTCTCTTTTCTAATTCTTACATGTAGCATCACACACACTACTTGTTCTCTTTTCTAATTCTTACATGTAGTATCACGCGCACTACTTGTTCTCTTTTCTAATTCTTACATGTAGTATCACGCGCACTACTTGTTCTCTTTTCTAATTCTTACATGTAGTATCACGCGCACTGCTTGTTCTCTTTTCTATTTCTTACATGTAGTATCCTGCACACTCCTTGTTCTCTTTACTACTTGTAACCTGTAGTATCACACGCACTGCTTGATTTCTTTTCCATTTGTAACCTATGGTATCACACGCACTGTTTGTTGTCTTTTCTATTTGATACCTGTAGCATCCCGCGCACTGTTTGTTCTCTTTTCTATTTGTTACCTGTAGTATCACGCGCACTGTTTGTTCTCTTTTCTATTTGTAACCTGTAGTATCACGCGCACTGTTTCTTGCCTTTTCTATTTGTTACGTGTAGTATCCCGCGCACTGTTTGTTATCTTTTTTATTTGTAACCTGTAGTATCACACGCACTGTTTGTTCTCTTTTTTATTTGTTACCTGTAGCATCACGCACACTGTCTGTTCTCTTTTCTATTTGTAACCTGTAGTATCCCGCGCACTGTTTGTTGTCTTTTCTATTTGTAACCTGTAGTATCCCGCGCACTGTTTGTTCTCTTTTCTATTTGTAACCTGTAGTATCACGCGCACTGTTTGTTCTCTTTTCTATTTGTTACGTGTAGTATCACACGCACTGTTTGTTCTCTTTTCTATTTGTTACGTGTAGTATCACACGCACTGTTTGTTCTCTTTTCTATTTGTAACCTGTAGTATCACGCGCACTGTTTGTTCTCTTTTCTATTTGTTACGTGTAGTATCACACACACTGTTTGTTCTCTTTTCTATTTGTTACCTGTAGCATCACACACACTGTTTGTTCTCTTTTCTATTTGTAACCTGTAGTATCACGCGCACTGTTTGTTCTCTTTTCTATTTGTTACGTGTAGTATCACGCACACTGTTTGTTCTCTTTTCTATTTGTTACCTGTAGTATCACACACACTGTTTGTTCTCTTTTCTATTTGTTACCTGTAGTATCACGCGCACTGTTTGTTCTCTTTTCTATTTGTTACCTGTAGTATCACGCGCACTGTTTGTTCTCTTTTCTATTTGTTACGTGTAGTATCCCGCGCACTGTTTGTTCTCTTTTCTATTTGTTACCTGTAGTATCACGCACACTGTTTGTTCTCTTTTCTATTTGTTACGTGTAGTATCACGCGCACTGTTTGTTCTCTTTTCTATTTGTTACGTGTAGTATCACGCGCACTGTTTGTTCTCTTTTCTATTTGTTACGTGTAGTATCCCGCGCACTGTTTGTTCTCTTTTCTATTTGTAACCTGTAGTATCACGCGCACTGTTTGTTCTCTTTTCTATTTGTTACCTGTAGTATCACGCGCACTGTTTGTTCTCTTTTCTATTTGTTACCTGTAGTATCCCACGCACTGTTTGTTCTCTTTTCTATTTGTTACCTGTAGTATCACGCGCACTGTTTGTTCTCTTTTCTATTTGTTACGTGTAGTATCACGCGCACTGTTTGTTCTCTTTTCTATTTGTAACCTGTAGTATCACGCGCACTGTTTGTTCTCTTTTCTATTTGTTACGTGTAGTATCACGCGCACTGTTTGTTCTCTTTTCTATTTGTAACCTGTAGTATCACGCGCACTGTTTGTTCTCTTTTCTATTTGTTACGTGTAGTATCCCGCGCACTGTTTGTTCTCTTTTCTATTTGTTACGTGTAGTATCACGCGCACTGTTTGTTCTCTTTTCTATTTGTTACCTGTAGTATCCCGCGCACTGTTTGTTCTCTTTTCTATTTGTTACGTGTAGTATCACGCGCACTGTTTGTTCTCTTTTCTATTTGTTACGTGTAGTATCACGCGCACTGTTTGTTCTCTTTTCTATTTGTTACGTGTAGTATCCCGCGCACTGTTTGTTCTCTTTTCTATTTGTTACGTGTAGTATCCCGCGCACTGTTTGTTGTCTTTTCTATTTGTAACCTGTAGTATCCCGCGCACTGTTTGTTGTCTTTTCTATTTGTTACGTGTAGTATCCCGCGCACTGTTTGTTGTCTTTTCTATTTGTTACGTGTAGTATCACGCGCACTGTTTGTTGTCTTTTCTATTTGTTACGTGTAGTATCCCGCGCACTGTTTGTTCTCTTTTCTATTTGTTACGTGTAGTATCCCGCGCACTGTTTGTTCTCTTTTCTATTTGTTACGTGTAGTATCCCGCGCACTGTTTGTTCTCTTTTCTATTTGTTACGTGTAGTATCCCGCGCACTGTTTGTTCTCTTTTCTATTTGTTACGTGTAGTATCTCGCGCACTGTTTGTTGTCTTTTCTATTTGTTACGTGTAGTATCACACACTGTTTGTTCTCTCGGCTTTTCTATTTGTTACCTGTAGCATCACACACACTGTTTGTTCTCTTTTCTATTTGTAACCTGTAGTATCACACGCACTGTTTGTTGTCTTTTCTATTTGTTACGTGTAGTATCCCGCGCACTGTTTGTTCTGTGTTCTGTATGTCAATAGAATTACTTCATATACTGTTTGTTCTGTATTCTAACTTTGTTTTTACGTGTAAAATCTTGTGGTTTGTTCGTTCTGTGTTTCATTTGTTACGAGAAGTATCTCACGCACTGTTTGTTTTGGAACCAAACTTTTAGGTTTTAAATCCTACGCGCTTTAAATCTCTGTGCTGGTTTCTATTTGTTACTTGCAGGATCTCGCGTGCTGCTTGTCTTGTGTTTTTTTTGTTACGTGTAATATCTCGGACTCTGTCTTCAGTGATCTATTTGTTACGTGTTAATATCTGGCGCCCTATTTGCTTTGTCTTTTGCTAGTTATGTTTGTAATTGTATCAATAAAATATGCTCGAATATGAGTGGTTCTCAATGACTGAATGAATGAGTAAATAAAGAAGTGACTGAAAAAAGAAATATTTGAAGAGAAAAGCCTGGTTTGGAGGAGAAACAGTCCATAAGAAACAATGGATATGTAACTCTTACTAGCAATTTCAGGACGCTGAACAATAAATGATCACGATCTACACGTACGTTGGAGAAAACTCAGCAACACCCCTGAAAGTTGTTCCATCTTGATAATAACTCAAAATTAACTTACTTGATACAGGGAAATTTTTCTAAGCTGAGAAATTTTCTTTCTCCAAAGCACTCAATTCCAGGTAAAACTTCACACCATACCCGTGTGTGTTGAACGTCTTCATACTTTGAACCGCCAAACTATAAATAAATTATCACAAAGCAAAATGTTACACAAGCGCTTGAAATGTGTATTTACTTTTATTAGTACACATTACATGTATTAAAAATACTGTTCTCTAAACATTTCCTAAGCTGCTGATAAGGAGAATTTGGTTAACAATCCAGAGCTTCAATAGTTAGTGATTATTTCCTTTATTCTTGTGACCTTTATGTTTGATTCAGGGGTGATATTGTAAGGAGAAATTAGATGTTAGTCACTCTTAGAGGTTGAAGGGTTAAGGTGCTAAACTCTTCCCTGAGTGGTTCAAGGTTTCAGCCTTCCACCCTGCTACTCATTAGATTTGTTATTGAGCTTTATTTAGCTCCAGGGGTTTTCTATGTAAAGAGGTTACTTAACCTATGTTTTGATTACAACAAACATAAATATTTTGTTTCATTCTCTGTCTTCTTGGTCCTGAAGGGTTCCACTGGGGAAATGGTTTATTAAAATAATTTCATCATTTTTTGCAAAGGAAGATGCAATGGCCTATCAGTCGATATACTTAACTCCAGAAAGGGAAGGCCACTGTCCAAGCCCTAGCTAGTCAGTCTGCTGTTTTAATTATTCTCTTTAATGAACCTTACACTGGGCCCCTCTCTGCACCCAAGTTAAAATGGTTAACAACATATAGTCCCAGATTCTTAACAAAATCCCTGAGGTCACCTGTACTAGACTAGTCTCCTATCCAGGAGGAGAAGGCAAACTATTTGAGGCTTTATATCACAAAAACTGGGATATGATCCAGCAATAAAGAGTCACCAAGCCCACAAGAATTAATGTCTACACCCAAAACTTATGTGTATTTTCTTCATACTTCTCTCTCATACTGACAAGGAGAATTTGTTTAACAAAAAGAGCTTCTTTTGTTGACAGTCACTTCCTTCATTCTTGTGACCTTAAAGGAGTAGGTCACGACTCATGATAGAGTGTAGAAACTAGTGGCACCAATGGGCCATTGGTAGCCTTTGCTGATGAGTTTTACTCAATTTGTTTAATCTTAGGATGTAGCCATTATGAAAAGGTCTAAGATATGACTCACATTAAGGATACATACTGGGTGTTGTACTGGAGTGAACATTTTACTGTTACATTGATTGAACAGTTTTTATGTATCCAAATATTCATCTATTTATAGAGGCATGAATGAATGAAGGAGAATTTCAGATGTCTGATTGAGCAGGTTTTTCTCGCATGAAGCAAAAGGAGTCAGAAGAACATATTTTAAGAACAAATTATGCTGAGAAGAAAGCATTTTTCCTTTGCAAATCTCTACTAATTCAAGAATACATTCAATTTGGCTGTGAGTTCCTACAAATAATTTTTTTCCCATCTGCCTCATTTTCCCCTTAAGCAAGGTAAAAAGTCCATCAATTTTATGGAACATTGCATTAAATTTTCCTAAGTGTCAAACTAGAAGAACTCAGTGCTCAAGCTCACAGAGTGACCTTGCCCTTTTGAAGTTTCATTCAGGGGTGGATTTTGCAAGGAGAACTTAGGAACTGATTAATCTTACAAATAGTGGAAAACCTTTTCACAGGGTTCTGATTTTTTAATGGTTGAGGGTGTGCTATGGAGAAATGAATGTCTGACTTCACAGGAACTAACTACTATCAGCTTTGCTTGTATCTTTAGCAGTTCAAATTTTCTTCAATTTCAATTGAATGGGTCATCATATTCATTGTGATCATAAAATAAAATTAAGTCATATTAAATGGAGGAAAATGTTTTAAACACAACATGTGTACTTACTTTAGAACATCCATAGCCTGACTCCTCTTGTGCAGTTTTATTTGATGTAAAATCATGTGGTGGATCACATTCAAGAAAGTCTATAGGTCTGGAAGGAAAAGTATTATGTATTAATTTATCACTGATAACAATAGCATTGTACACATACTATAACATAAATAAGCAAAACAATCTAGTTCACCATAGAAAATCACACCCTCATCTCAATGATACATTCATTTCAACTACAAAAACACTGTCACTTCAAATGAACAGCATCACTCTGACTTCCACTTGCTGAGTTGACGCAAAAGTGTCAGCCACACAGCCTACCAATACAATGTTCCAAGTACAAAATGTTCTGTGATAGTCCTCCTTGATCAAAATGCTCCTCGTGAATATATCAAGTTGCATAACCGTGACTGTACAACTAAACAATACTAAACAATACCAAAATATCATTTTGCATCTTACAGATAATCCTTCTTGCAACGATAACCACATGGATGATTAAACAGCCGGTATAATTTGATCAAATGCTATCACCAGAGAGACCTGGCGAATTTACTTTGGTAAAATTTCCGCACAGCCCCATACTATTGTAAAACAAATCTGTTTCCTAATGGCAATGTATTGGGTAAAATTTCCGCACAGCCCCATACTACATTATGCATTCAGTTCTTGGATAGAGAAAACAATGACAAAAACAATACATTGCCATTAGGAAAACAGATTTGTTTTACAATAGTATGGGGCTATACGGAAATTTTACCTTACCCAGGTGGTAAAATTTCCGCACAGCCCCATACTATTGTTAAACAAATCTGTTTTCCTAATGGCAATGTATTGTTTTTGTCATTGTTTTCTCTATCCAAGAACTGAATGCATAATGTAGTATGGGGCTGTGCGGAAATTTTACCCAGGTGGTGTTATCTTAACCCAGCTTCGAACAACCGGCCCAGACCATTATAAGAATGAAAAAGAAATATGTGTAGCTACATGCAAGCTAGTTTACAAGCGGAACTTCACCTTCAGGTAACTTAGTGTTCAATCGACAAAGTGACTTACAAGTAACTGCAGTTCACAAGCGGACCATTCGGGTTATACTTTTCGCCTTCATCTTCACCAATGGTTTTACTAACAAGAAAGGACACGACGAAGAATGCTGTAGCGAAGGGTCGTACTCTTTCCGCCATGTTTGTTTTGAGAGCAATATCCCAGCACCACCCGGGTGGTGCAAGGCTCTGAAGGAACAAAGGCGAGGCCACTAAGCAGACGCCTTGTCGATTTCTAATTTGGAGATTTCTGTTCAGTGATCGTAGTGGAAAGTTTTGGAATTATGGACAGAACGGCCCTTTTCAAAGCCACTGTGAAAACTATACGGACCAGAAATAAAGCCCTTGGTGTCAAAGAGGCAACAAAGGACATTTTGGGCTCGAAAAGACACAAGGGTGAATTTGGAACGAAAGCGAAAGAAGTGGTAAGAGTACAACCCATCTATGTAACTGTTCTCTTTATGTACCATTTTCAGCATGAAACAGATTCTAATGAGCAAGGTTCAGTAAGGTGTGCTTTCATATTCAAGACTGATTTATTTTGACAGACAACATATTGTACAGACTTTCGTGGGAAGATTTCCGCACACCCCCAATACTTGATTTTGTATACAGTTCTTGCATGGATAAACAATGGCGAAAGAAAACAATAGTTTGCCTTGTAAGCCTACAGCTTTGTTTTACAGTAGCATGGGGCTGTTCGGAAATCTTGTAACTTGATGTTGGTTCATTGTCATAATTATCTTCACCTGTCAGTTGTCTAACTGGTTTTATTATATATTACATGTACTATAAAAAATCTGATTGTCAAGAATATTCAACCAATATACAATAGTGTGAGAAGATGACTTGACAAATGCATTGTCTGCAGGAGATATTGCATTTATCATAATGAGTTCAAAGTTAACATAGTTTCAAAGTCCTTCGAAGTGTTCTCAAACCGGCTTGCTGTTCTCAGAGTCAGATTAACTCAAAATGGCCAAATGCTTTTAAAAAATGTATAATAAAGCAATAAGTTTATTGTGCATGGTATAGGTTTTTGCATGATATCTTGAATTATCAAACCTTGTGTCTGTGTTATTTTCCTGAGCTTTGGCTCAGTGGCAGATAACTCAGACATTAGTTTTGACAATTCACAATATCACACACTGCTTAATTTGATATTCCATATTACTCAAAAAGTGATGCCCAAGTCTTGAAAAAACATGTTCACATCAGATCTTGCTTACCCTGCTTTTATTAAGTTTTTTTAGTTTTTATTCAGCAAAATGATATGATTGATAAGTGTTTATTTTAATTGGGGCTGCTTTCTTTCACAACAGCTTGTCAATATTAGTAAGCTGAGAGATTTCCTACTAAAACACCAAAAGGATTATGTCAGTCCATTCAGGTAAACAGAGTTCCCACTCAAACTGCAATTAGTAACAGTTGGTGAATTATTTCATGATTATATTTGTCTAAGTTGATAAGTGATTGCTTATTCATGGTGGTCACCGCATTGAGGGGAAGCGTTTTATTTCAAGAAGGGCAGTATTTGGGTTTTTAAAGAAGTTATGCACATTTGAGGGTTGCTTATTCAAAGTGGGTGCTTATTTGGGGGACAGTAGAAATTTGATGATTTATAATATGTTAATCGTAAAAGCCAAATCTTGGGGGTTGATATTAAATATAATTATATTGATTTTCTTGATTTACTCAGTAGTAATTTTGCAGGAGATTTATAGAGTAATGCAAGTTCTAAGTCAATCAAATACTTTTATTTTTATTGGTACAGTCACCTGAGTTTAGAGTTGTCTAGTATGACAGATGAAGAGCGAGACCAAATAGACACAGATGCTGAAACTTACATGAGAACATGCTCAGTTGCTATACAAACCCTCAAAAATGAAGGTATTGATACAGCTTAGTGTAACCGTGGCAAACATCAAACTGAAAGTATGTAAAAACAGTGTCATTATTATCAACATTTCAGGAAAAATCCACATGTAATTAGCACTAACATTCACTGTACAATTTACACTAGATATATTTGTCAGAGATGACTTTGTTTCATTAAAAATGATGTAGGGTTAAAATGATATCACACTTAAGTTTGATTCTTTTGTAAGTTACCTTGCTCTAATTCTCTAGCAATTTTACCTGGAACGAAATAACTACAAATTAAATTGGTTTAGATTTATTTTGACCTGAAATTAATATTAAACTGCTATGTGCATACAAATCACCATTAAATATATTTACAGTGTTCCTTGTCTAAATCCTCTCTGTCATATTCTGTACTACACATTCAAGCAATGTAAGTCTCAAACTTCAAATTGGCCAGGTGCTTAGCTATGTAATGTAAAATAATTTTGTAAATTTAACAAGTGTTTACAAAAAAGATGATGATGAGAAATTAATCAGATTGAACCTTAGTCCTTGAAATTTTGAAATATTGCAAAGCAAACTAGATTATAATTTTTTACCTGGACAATTCTTCTCAAATACTCTTTACAGCATTGCAGCAGAAAAGAAGTGAACAAGTTATGACTCACAGGGAAGTTGTACTGGAAATGCTAGGACAGTATTTAAAAGGTGCACTATATGCTAGATTATAAATGATCAATACCAACACAGTGTAGGATTATCCACTAATTCAATTAATTTCTGTTGAAAGTGGAAGACACTATTCAAGTATCAGTTCTGCAGAAAAAAGGAACTGATGAAGTGAGTTTTAATTGAGGCTGTTCCCCTAAAGTATTATGGTTCATACTTGCGACTAGATTTTTCTATAATAGCACTCAATTTGAGGGGTAGTGAACACTAAAATTAGAGACTTTGGAAGACAACAAGCCTCTTGTTTGAAAATTCAAGTGAGACTAAATGACCCTAGTCATGCATATCCTAGCTAATACTGTTGCTTTACCTAGATCTTCCTAGATACAACAATTGATCTCACTAAATTGTTGGGTTAGAGTTGCAATACTCACTTTTGTGAATCAGTTTCTTCATTACGATACTTTCAAATAACAGCAATCAAATAAAGCCATTTGTCACTCACAAAGATAACTCTAAGTCACTCTTGCTTGCCTCCTTGGGACCAATTATCAGAAAAACTCCCAGAGTTTGGAAACTTTGAAAGGAAAAAAATACTTTGAGATTGAAAAGGGTGTGATCCATGATTTTTCTGGCACCATTTGCCAAATCCAGAATGTTATTATATCTGGGGCTTGTCCATTTGGGATACATTTCTCTAGGTCCATTCTTTAGGACTTTTTTACTGTAGTTACTCTTTTTAATGTGGTGTTATTTTTGAGGGGAGTTGTCTGTCACATGCGGTAAAAACTCTCCAACTTCTTCTGTTAGTGGTTTGCAAGTTGTACAGTGAACAAAGAGCTATCCGTGTCAGGAGAGTAGTGGAAAAGAAACGAATGTAAGACCAATTACCATACTCTGACTTGCAGAGTCTTTAGAAAAATGGGCACTTCAGAGCCTCAGTAATGATAACTTAGAGATAAAAAGAATTTGTTTCAAATTAATCCATATTTATAAGTCTAGTAATGTGTAGGTTGAAGAATTACAAGGTACATGTAACAACTTGATTTAATTAATTTATTTAATTATAATTAGTATATATGCCACACTTGTGGATAATGCTTTTTGTGCATGGTGATTGGCTGGTTCAAAAGTGATTAGCAAGTTAGTATTATTCACCTACAAGCAGCAGAAGACACAAAATTGAGGATCAACAATTTAATTTCAGACTTTCATTTGGTATATGGACAGAAATAAATTAATTTTTTGGTTTCTGTTTGTTATATTCTAAAATAGTTATTCACTTCCACTTTGATGAATAACTGTTAATTGCATGTGCTGTTTGATGAATATGCACTTTTCAGATTTTTGCTTTTAAATTGTAGTTTGAGAATTAAAACCAGATATACACCACTTTTGACTACAAACAAATTTGAACTTCATGTCATTATCAATTTTCTTTGATTTCTTTTTATTCAAAATAAGATCCAGACTACAACCTGAACAAAAACGATTGAAACAAGAGTCAAATGGACAGCTTGATTCTAAATCATCTGCTTCAGAAGTCAAAGATGATGTTTCAAAAGGTTGGTTATGGGAAAAATTTAATTTCAGTGAATAACAACAGTATGCATACCTCTTAATAAATGTCACTTTTCTCTGGTTCATTACTATTTCAGCTGCAGTTTGTAAATATTGAAATAAAAATTAAGAAATAGGGATGAATTTATCTATTGGAAAAATGCATATGTACAATTGTCAGTAGAATTGAGGGATGGAATTGGAGTATTTTTGTGATATGAATGAAGTGTCATCTAATGAGAAACTTTTTATACATGATTATTATCAGTAAAGCTTTTTATCAGTGGAGGATGTGGTTCTTATGAATGACTGCACATGGTGTACTGAAAGACAGTTTCAGACAGACCCTGGAAAAATTGGTCTGAGTCCGGGAAAAGTCCTTGAAATTCTGAAAAAGGGTACAAACCCTGTGAAGTTGGGTGACAAACATCTCACTGTTCAGTTATCAGAAAAGAGCAGCTCTCCTAAATGGCAGAAGGGATCCATTAATTTAGCATAAATTATATTAATAAAAATAATTGTTTTACACTGGAAATGTTCTTCTAGTGAATCTAAGATAATCAGTAATTTTACATCGGGATTTGTTTTTCTGTGCTTCCAGCAGAATCCAAAAGTCCAACACAACCTCTAGATTTGGCTCCTCCTCCTCCTCCTCCAGGGGAGGATGAAGAATTGACAGCAGAGGAAGTCCAGATGGTATGAAAAGAACAACTGAATTTCATGTGATAATGTTACAAGTTGCCATGTGTGATAAGTAACTGACCACCGGCAAAGTTCCCAACTATTACTTTTAAAGCATCAAACTAATAATAATTGTTTCATAATGTTCTCTTTGTTTGTTTGTTTAAGTTTGAAATGGAAAACCAGAGGTTGTTTACAGAAATGAACAGTTTGGTGAACGAAGTGAGGTATGGTGATAAAAATTCATTTAAATCAGTCTTAGGGTTACTGTTTGATTCTCTCAACCATTGGGTATTCCTTGTACAACGTCTGCTTTTTATTTCTATCATTAAACTTGTATGTTTTTGTTATAGGCAAATTGAAGGAAAAGTAGTAGAAATATCTCAGCTCCAAGAAATTTTCTCTGAAAAGGTTTTACACCAGGTGAGAAAGCCATTTGAAACACTTATGTCACTAGATAGTTAAAGATTTCAGTCAGGCCCCAAACTTGATCATTAAGTTTGCAAGACTTTTTAAGACTTGTTTTACTGAAAAGAATCCATCAATCAGTATCTTCTGTTTATACAGTCTGCACAGATTGACAGAATACATGAGACTGCTGCAGGAACAACAGAAAATGTCAAGGGAGGAAATGAACAGATAAGAGAGGTACAGTGTAACATCATCATCATCAGAAGAGGTTTCAATAAAAGCTGGTTACTGGCAGTCTACTGCCTCCTATGAGACCTCTTTCTGCCATCTGTTTAGGCTGCAAGCAGGGTCAGGTGCATGGGTTTCATCTCACAGCCCCTTGTCCAGGCCAGTGACCTATCACACCACTGGCAGATGTTTATGGAAGAAGTTTTCAAAACCCCTGCATCTGACTATTAGAAATCGTAAGCAGAGATACAATTCTCACAGGTGAACTGCAATTAAAGAAATTTCAGGAAAAAATATTTGACAAGATTTAAACCCATGCCACTCCAGGTGCTATTACCTACCATTGCTAAATTAAGATGTGCTCTGCACATAAACATTAATTTTAGTAGTACATTTGATGTAAGGAAACCCTTTTTATTTGCAGGCCATCAAGAATAATGCCAGCTTCAGAGTTTGGATACTTTTCTTTCTGGTTATGTGTTCATTGTCACTGCTGTTTCTCGACTGGTACAACTAAATGGGGAGAAGAACTTTGAAATAGTCAATTTAAGCAAATCTTAAACATGTAGAAAAAAATTGAATTTCATTATGCCCAGAGCTGTGATGAATAAATGAATAAAACATCACTTCTCCTTCAGCCAAAAACAGAAATTAAAGTAACTTTCAGTGCTAGAAGTTCAAAGAGCAATAATATTATAATAAAATGGAATTACATTTATATATGAACAGGTAGATTTAATGTTGCTTGTAAACCATAACTATTTCTGTTAGAGCACAATAAATGAATTTTTTATTTATATTTGTCATGAAGTTTATGTTGGTGTCTCCTACTTTCATCTTATCTTGTATAGATAATTTGAGGGAAGTCTGTGTAAGATCAAAATCAAATGGTCAAATGTAACAGACTCCTACATGATAATGGTTGGTTGGGCAGTTTCTAAAATAATGTCTTTTTGTGATACTAAATCTTTATTGGTATTGAACAATCAGTGCCTGGTGACAACTTCTGTATTTCATCATATGTGACAATTCTCTTTTACACCCCCTCTGTCAATAAGCACCTGCTTCCTCCCTCACTTTCTGACATAGTAGGAATACAAGGAAAACCTGTTTCTATTGCCACAATCACTTTATTTACAACTTTTTAAGCTTGAACTACAGTGACATCAGAATGGAATGGTTTCTTTCCTGCTCTAGTTATATCTATTTCCATGTGCTTGCACAGTTTCTTTATGTGACATCTGTTCTTTTAATTTTTGTCCTATTGCCACACTCTCTTGATAAACAACCCCCCCTGATTAAGTGCCCTCCTTCCAATAAGCACCCTTCCCTTTCACCTAAATTTAATCATTTAAATAAGTGCCTGGTACTTCTTTGAGAAAATATTTATTATAAACGTTTATTGTATTACTTGACATGTAGATTATTATTATCCCTAGCAGTAAATATTCATCATTAAAAAAATATGTTATAAAGATCTATACTGTTTTATGAAATTAATTCTTCCTATATAAAAATCACAGGGGAATGCCACCCCAACAGATGTGGAGATAAATACATAATTATATATATTTACCAATGAGATTGCTGCTTAAAAGGAACACTGTGTACATTTTTAACATAAATGAAGTGGTCTATCCATCCCTTGGCTATGAATAGTAAATTCACACTGGCACTGTTTAAAAGTGCATGGTTTCAAATTTCAAAAAACTTGCTTTCCACATCAGGAGTAAGAATAACAGTGACAAAAAACAAGTGTCTTCTCTTTAAGATGATCATACATAAATTAATATTTAATTTATATCTTAAACAAAAAATTTCATTCCACAAGTGTGCAGAGTAGAACTATTCCATTGAGCCAATATGCAGGCAATTTTGTTCCATACCACATGGAGCTTTGAAACTTAAACCCATTAACCCTAAAATGGTTCAATAAAGGTTATCAAATTTAATTTTAGGTTACGAACATACATATCCTAATAAAACTTGAAGCACTGTGCTGTGCTAAAAGTGATGATTACTCTTTCTAATTGCATGTATTGTAGGTACTTTAAAAAAAAAGTTGAGAAGTATTCAATCTATATTCACCTTAAAAAGTCAGGCATCATTTGCTACTGATCTAAACTATTTTACTGCACCATAAAATATTTTCCTTCATAAATCAGTAAATTCTACCATTTGTTTCGTAAAATAAAGGTATGGTCAAACATTGAAATCAGTGTCTCCAATGGTGGAGCTGTCTTAGCCCTCTTAAGACCTATCTTAGCTGTCCAAATAAAGCCATTTTAATGGTGCACCATACAAACTCAAAAACTTCTATATCAATATTATGAATTACAATACTAAATTAGACTTAGTGGATTAAAACTGGAGAAAATCAGGCCTGCAAGATCAAAGTCATTGGAATTTGCAACTCAAAAGTTGATTTGAAATCTAAGACAGTTATCCAGAACTGAATGACACATAAGAGCTACCGTTTCTGATAGTCCTTCTACAAATTTACATCAGAGAAGTTAATTTCAACCCCAGGCCTCCTTTTTAAGGTGTGGGCTAAAGATAAACCATGTGAAAACAACTAGATTGCCAAGGTTTTCCAAAAATAGTGTAAACTTGGCTAGGGGTGTGTTATTACCAAATTTCATTAGATAATCATAAAAGGGGGCTATTAATGACATCAGCTCCTTCCTTAGTGCTTTATCAGAAGAAGGGGAAGAGAAAAAAATCAATCCACTCAAGTAAGTACACCTGATTGACATGCAGTTGACAAAAGTGTCTAATTTGAGATATCAAAAATACAAGTTCAAATTTGGCATAACTGGACACTTGCATAAGTATCAGCTGACAAATATAGCCAGGATAATCCAATCTAAATTATTAGACATATATGAAAACTTAATAATAAAGATCGTCATATTTTCAGCATAAAGTGAATACAGATGTATCCATCACAAAATGTGACAGCTATCATTACATCAAAGAACCCTAGGGCACTATAACTCCTGAAAAAAAAAAAAAAATACCAGACCCTGTACAAGATGAAACTTAACCCTTTAATCCCTTTGAGTGACCAGCATGTTATTCCTCCTTACAGTAATACTGCTGAATCATTCATTACAATCATGAGAATGACATACATGATTGCCAACCTAACAAAAGTCTTGATTGTTAAACAAATTCTCCTCTATTCCTTCTCAAAGGAATTGAACAAAGAAGCGTTCAGAGAATATGGATACATTACTGATGTTAGGGTGGAAAGGGTTAAAGAATAACCATTCCACAAAGTTTTAGGGATTTATGAAAATAGTTTGGATCTGAGAGTATTAAGAAAGAAACTTCCTAATACATGTCACATTACTCTGCATGTACATGAACGTTTAGTAATGCCTTAAATTACATGTTTCCTACTGTCTGTAACTCTGGAGTTTCTATGTACATAACATTACCACTAACATCAAGAGGTAAGCTAATAGTGTTTACAATCATTGAAAATACCAATGAATCTGATTTAAATTGTTTCCATGAAACAAAAGACATCTCTGTCACATTAAAAAGACAAATCACGATGCATGGTCATGATTATCCTAGGGTTAGGAACAGATGCAAAATTAGTAATAAATAATCATAAGCAATGATTGCTGTCATAATTTATTCACTATTATAATGATGTAGAAAAAACCTTCACCTCTTAATAGTAATTACTTTCAAAGACAAGTTATGAAAATAAGCACTTACCCATCAAATAATTAACAACAAAATATATATTTACTGGAAGGGAGAATTAGAAATCAGATAAGGGGAGTAAATACTTGGTTAGTATCAATTGATTATTCAAAATACTTTAAAATGTAGGGATGCATGGAAAAAAGCCTTGTGTGACTTCTGATAGAATGTCACATTCTCCTTTCAAATTCTCTCCTACCATGTATTTCTTTGAAAACAAAGGGAGAAGTTAATGTGTATCAAAAGTTATCTAGACCTTTTTCATTTCCTCATATCCCCTCAAAAAGCAATCTTTAGAATTCATTACAAAGATCATTTAAAACCCTTTGGGCCATCTGAAATTCAACCAGGGCCCAGCCATGACATCCTGATGACAAAAAGGGTGCCATTAGGTTCTCTGTGAATACCAGTTGAGGCCACATGGCAGCAACCTCCCAAGGTTCCATTTGGAGCATCATCAGGACCAGCAGAGGCAAAAGATCCTCTGCATTTACAGCTGCAGTGAAGGTATCTTGTCCACTCTGCATCCGCAGCTCTTGAACAGCATTTGTTATTTTACGGAGGGATGATGTCAGGCATTTCAGTTTGTTTAAAGGACTTGTGACCTTGAAAATGTCTTTGATATTTTGAAGTGCAGGACCAAAGTGGTCCTCAAAAGTTTCTCCAGAAACTGAGCTGTCCTTTCTGCTTAGATTACTTTCACTTTTAGAAAGTGTCCTGTTTAAACAAGGCTTCATCTCCAGGCTTCCATCAACACTGTCATAACTTTGTTCACACTTAGCTGTCTTCCATAAATCAATGATTTGAACCATTGTGGGTGCACTACAACTTAAAGCACCCTCAAAAGAATTCCTTGACTTGGGAGGCCCTGTGTTGGGTTGGTCAAGAGGTTTTTCAACATCATCTACGGCCACGGTTTTTGAGCGATGACGAATAGCACTGATGAACAAGCTTCTGAATGATTCCATGTCTTCTATGTGCCTGCCATTTTGAGTGTCTGTAGTGTTGTCTACTAAGTCATCTAATTCATCAATCATGTCATAAGAACCACTCAAACCATGGTCTGCCTGGTCTAATAATGTGCCATTCATATATGCTTCTGTAAATGGACGATAATGTCCCGAGTTTGTACTTGCCTGGAGTGATCGTTGCTCAAATAGCTCCAACCACCACTCATCTTTCATTGGCAAATTCAAAAACTTTATTGGGAGGCATCTGAGCCTTTGTACATCCCCTTGCAGCTTGTCCACATGTTCATGATGAGCCAGTTCATAGACGCAAGCCAAAAAGTGGTGCTCTTTCTCATAAAAACACTGCTCGTAGCAAAGCCTTATTTTGTTTTTAAAATGCACATCCTTGTTGTTAAAGATGTCAGACAAGAACTCTGTTGCAGTTTCCAACTCTTTCAAAATTTCAGATTGTAACATTTGGAGTTTGAGCCTATGATTATCTGTCATGAAATCTTCCATGCCATATGATTCATACTGAATTGCACAGGCCTTGCCAAAGGGTGAACATGAAGGGGTAAATTCTTCAGAGCTGCTGAATCTTCCAGAGGTAAGCAGCTCTTCACAGAGTGATTGGATCCTTTGGCAAAACTTTTGGAAATGGTTGCCAACTGGATGCTCCTCATTGTTCACCAGAGTAGCAATTCTTTCACCCAGTCTTTGCCATTCTGGCTTCCAAACTCCTTCAAGGACTACCAATGTCACATGAAAAAAATGAGAGCAATTAATCGATGTACTACACAGTTCTGTACGTGACAGCCCCCCTTTCCTTGGTTAATTGCTATATTTGGATTACATTTTTCATTTAGTAAACATAGGATGATTCACAGAGCTTTTATACAAATGGTTTGGTTCCATACATGTACATGTTGACATAACTTATGTCTGTAAGAGTGCAGTGTTCATAATAACGTGGTGTATGATGTTTAAACCTGTTGTCAGCAGAGTATGCTACAAAGCTTCCATATCTTACCATCTGTTGCTCGAGATCCTAAAGCATTTGCATCATTTGCATCAGTGTGGCCTTTGTCAATCAGCTCTTTCATGGCAGAATCCAACATTTCTCTTACACTCAAAGCACAATTCTTTGGAAACAAAGTGGAAAAACAAACAAAGTCAAACATCAGGATTGTTCATCATCAAAAGACTGGGACAAATTTTCTTCCTTGTCGACTAACAGTCTAAGAAAGGGAAACTACATCACAATGGAAAATCACTTTCTATATCTTAAGTGAGTCTACTAACAAAGAACATTTGTCAAGATTTGATTGACATAAGGAGTTTTTCATTTCACCGAAGGTAGGGGATTTTTGCACTGCTGTATTTTACATAATTTTTTTCCTGTCTACCTATGAGATCTCACTTTAGAGGATTGTCCCAAACATATGTGGGACACAGGTGGTCTGTGATGACCCTGTTTACTGTTTTATAATTCCACAACAGCTCAGTGCATAGGGAATGCTTCCCAATGCCACTGTTAAAGCCATTTACCTTCTGTTCTAGAAGTCTGTTGCGGCTTTGTTTGAGACTAGTGAGTGTCTCCCTTTGTTCCAAGTACTGCTTTAGTAAGTGATGTCCAGCAACAACTCCTCCACCAGTTTCAGCCTGTAATTAAATTAAAGTTCCCTAAATGGTAATTCAATCAATAAAAACTACACTAAGTCATTAGACTGTATTTAATTTGGAATTTTTGATTAAATAGACAGAATATCACTAGATTGCTGTTATCACATTTAGAGCAATTTGTAAATACTACTGTTGAAAGTAAGTTAAAAGTGAACTCTTGGACTGTAATTACAAGCAGGCTAAGATACAAAATTCTTGTTTTTTATGAAGCTATTTTGCTTTATAATGATTTTGTGTAACAAAGAGTACATTTGCCTGTTAAGGGTATTCAGAGTTATCCCTAGTGCAGGAGTAAAAATCTGAGAATTTGGTTAAGACTATCCACTTAAAATAGAATCTGCTTGATACCGCTTTCATTGAATGCAGGGAGCCACTAAAATATGCAGGGTTATGACAAAATAATTTCAAGTCTAAGAAGTATTTATTACTAAGTTCCGAGCATTACTAGGTACAGAGTACTATTGACTATGTTAATACTAGGAGCTGAGTTCCTAATTAAATAATTGTAATTTGCACTTCATCAGATGAAAAGTTACATGTAGACCAAAATTGGAGAGTTACAGTATACAGCTCATCATAATTATTAGGAGAAAAAATGAGCTCACAAAGTATACCTGACGAGAAGCAGCAACAATGAGTTCTCTTGTCAAAAGCAGGGCTTCAAGCTTTTCTTGTTCTCCATTTCTCTGTTCTCTAGCTGCCTTAAGCTGTTCAGTAGATGCTGCACAGGGTTTCTGTGCTACCACAGTTTTAGCATGTTGCACTTGATCTTGAGCCTTGTCAATCTGCAAAACACATGGAGGTTCAGATTCAAAATAAAACACCTGGTACTACCTTTTTTTGGGCCCATGCTCCAGACATCTTTCTTCAGGAATCACAATAGTTAGAAATAATTTAAAGGTTGAGTAATTAAAACCACACAATTACCATACCTGTTTCCTTAGTCTTGGTTCTTCTTTACCAATGTCCTCAAGGAGTACTTCAAGAAACCCTTTAGAGCACCAGCCCCGGTGAATAAATTTCTCCAGGTCAGGTAGAAACTGAGTGCGTAAATCTTCCATGTGTAGCTCACAAGCATCAATGGTTTTACATTCATCAATGACCTTCCTATCTAGTTCCTGGATGCTTTGAGCCTGCTTTTCTCTGGCATTCATTACTTTGTCTAAGTCATCCTTGTGTAAGGTTATCTTAGGTAGGATATAGCAGTGAAGCATGCGTAAAAGGCATTGTTCATAATCTTCATCTGAGGGCTGTGAGACTCCATTCTGGAATAAAATCAATAACAGACCTAAAAATTAATATTCTGATAAATACTGAATTACTATTACTAAGTAAACATGTGTGTTAGCTTTGAATATAAATTTTTCAAAAAATAAACAATATATCAAGATTTTGTATATCAATATTTGATACACCAGTAGGTACAAATCATCTTTAGGTATAGTTGTTTATTTTGCAATTCAAATCATCCCTTGGTTTTGACTTAATTTACATAACTACAAAGTTAACTTTTGTTTCTTTTATTGTAAGTTTATTAACATAATCATAGACAAAAGAGAGCAAATTAAAATTTACTTCTGTCAGTTAGGTCAATAATAGAAGTCTTTTCCTAAAAAAAAAAAATGCTAGCAATGAGGAGGGTTGGTAGAATTACTTAATAAACAGAATAATTCTCAAAACAACATATTAACAAACTCACTCCAAAACACACCAGCCATCCTATAGATTAACAAGAAACCACAAACTATCAATGATAATCTCTGTTATCTCTTAGAAAAGAACATTTGAAACCAAACAAAACTATGAACCACCAAAAAAATATTGTTAACTTTTTCAAGACAATTTTTTTCCAAAACTTAAGTTTAGAACTTGAAAAAAAAAGAAAAAAAAAAAGGGAGTGACAAGCAAAGAAAACTGAACTGAAGAAAAAAATTTCCTTGTGAGGTGTTACTGTTAAGATCTTTCATCCATTCTTCTCAAGTGTCTTTTAAAATTGAAGAAAAAAGGTGCTTGGTGGGAATAAGACTGCTATAGCCAATTTATAGCCTAAACAATAATGGCCAAACAAATGGAATTGAATGCAATTTAACGGAGTTAAAAAGAAAGAGCATCAGTGTTCTCTAAAGTAGTCAAAGATTTTTGCATATGCAAATTCATCAGAATTCTTTGTGCTCTTCATTTGAGACATTCTTGCATATGCTTTGTAATTGCAGTTAGGAGCTGGCTGCCAATTGTGGAAGCACCTGGATGTCTCAGGAACCCAACCTCCACTTAACAATGCAGTTGTTAATATAGAAAAATTGGAAGTAAGATAACATCAAATGCCATTTCAATAAAAATTTCAAGCAGGATTTGCATGAAGTTGCAATATTTCATGACAAATACGTACCTCTTCGTGACCAGCTGGGCAAATAACTTTTGCAGCCAAGTGGAAGAGTTCGTCTATGTCTGCATCATAATCATAACACTCTCCTTCCATGTAACATGTCCTTTGACTAGGCAAGTCTGCATCTAAACAAAAAGAAATAGAATAATGCCAAAAGTTTTTTTGTTTAGTCTCAAAATCAGTCATACGTTCACTGAAGGTGGTGGTGATTAATGCAGATTTTTAAAAGAATTGTTTATGCAAATTTTGGGTTATTTTGACTTCTAAGTCTTAAAAAGCATTATTATTTCCATAGTAAGTGATAGCTGTGGATTGATATGACTGGTGAAGAAGGCTGGCAAAGACAGAGTGACCAAACAAACAGTTTATTAGGCAGGAAATTGTTTAATAGTTGCTCACTACTTCAAGCCCTGAATGATGACTGATCATGGACAGATATGCTATGAGAAAGGAATTAAAGATCATTAGAATTGCGTGAGACATACTACAGAATACACATGTATGAACGAATCAAACTTCTTAACTCCCAAACTCAAAACATTTAGTGAAATGGCCAGCTACTGGCTCTTCTTGACAGCCTGCTTAAAAAAGAAAAGACCACTAACCTTCAGGGTGACTTCCAGTTGACCAGCTGACTATCCTTCTTCCACAGTCAACAGATACTGATTCTAGTAAAAGAACCTTGAACCAAATTGCTGGCTCCAGTCTCGACACATCTGCACACGATTTCTTCATGGCTCCGTTGCCAATACAGGGACTAAAACCCTCTTGAAGATGAACATTGGTAACCCAACGCCTTTGATTTCCATCTTTAAGATATACGTGCATTCTCGTTATGGACTTCGTGAGGGCCTGTAAGAGGGAAATGTTGTTGATCAATTAGTTAAAGTCTTTAATCTTCAAAAGGTTCCTGTTCCAATATCAAACCCTTGATTTGCAAGTCTTCAAGAGATCTTTAAGTTTATAGTTTAAACGGGATTTGAGACTACAGTTTGCATCCATCATAACGAAGGAAGCAATTGTGAAAGAGTGTACTGTAAACATCAAATAAACTTCATTATACCCGCATTATGAAATTGTGAAATTATGAAATTTTGTTCCTCCCGTTCTTCAACACGTCAATTAAACTTGCAGCACTGGCAATAAATCAGTAATTAGGAATATTATTCCCACTTTAGTTTCCTTCTAAAGCACTGTATTATCTGGGTGCAGCTTTTTTCATTTCGTTTCAAAGCGACCTCACCTATTTTGGCAACTTCCAAATTTTGCTGTATATCCGATGTGATTCTTGATGTTCAGCAGCTTTCTGCATATTTGGTAGTCCAAATAATTGATCTCCAAGTTTCACCAACGGGTATCCGGAATATCATCAGTATATTTCCATAATACATCGGAAGTAGACGTACCTTAACGGCCAAAAATAGGGATCCAAACCTCAAACGTAAATGGTTTTACTTTCAGTGTTTTAACGTTCACTATCTCAACCCTAGCGGAAGTTCTAAAACGCAGGACTAGGCAAACAACATTTCCGCAGCAAAGAGTTATGGGATAGAGTGACCTCATTACAAGTTTATTGCGCATGCGTACCTTTTCCCGCCAAAAGAAAATATGTTTTGCTTTAAAATTGACGATATTTTCGTAAAATTTCCTTTAAAATTTTCGTTTTGAAAGGTTCTTTAAGGTTTCGATTGATTTATTTTGCTTCAAACTCGCATAAAACAGTATAATAATAGAGAAATGAACTAGGTTTAACTATTCTGTAATGTAAACGCTGAGCTATACGAATTCGATGAAATCCAAGATGGCGGTTTGAGGAAAGTGCCTACACACACAGGTTGTCGATTTCATGTGCTGATCAGGAAAGAGGAAAATGGCGAGCGATGATGAAAATACTCTTAGGTTTATAAGTATTAATGAGTCGATGGAGGAAAACCTATTACGAGCTTTGGAAGCTAGTAAGGAATACGATTTGAACAGCGAATGGATTTCCGCGAGCAATTTGGAAAATATTGATTTGGAGATACATCGATCGGTGTACATTTTGGAGAATTTTGAAGGACAAAGTTTCGAGTACTTGAAGGAAAGAAATTGCAGGATCGTCGGTCCACCGTGTATATTATCGTGTTTACAAACAGAGACTCCGCTGCCAAATGTCCAGTACCCAGTTTATTGTGTAGCCATGCGAGGCATTGCCATCAGTTGTACTAGTGTTCCTCGGGAAGAGAGAGATAGGCTTTACGATCTTATCCGGCTGATGGGAGGGATTGTTATGAAAGACTTCACCAGCGCAGTAACTCACCTGGTTGCGGGTGAGGTGGGATCTAAGAAGTACAAGGTTGCATGTAGTTTCAATAAACCAATTTTATTACCACAGTGGGTTTACAAATGCTGGGAGCTTAGTCAGGACGAACATGTGTGTGCCACAGATGAACAATTCATGGAATTCAAATGCCCAACATTCAAGGGAATTACTCTCTGTGTGACAGGTATTGATGCAGAAAAAAGAAAAGAAATAAAGAAACTTGTGACACAACATGGCGGAACGTACTCAGGAGCACTTGATATGAACACTTGTACCCATTTACTTGTCGATGACCCAAGGGGTGAAAAATATGAGTATGCAAGAAGGTGGAATCTTCACTGTGTTTGTACACAATGGTTTTATGACTCAGTTCAGACAGGCTTGTGTCTGGATGAGTCAAGCTATTACACTCAACCTGATAAAGAAAATAACAGTTCACAAGCAGGTGCAAGATTGTCAGGTAGCTTAATCAAAGGCAGTACTTCTAAAAGTGGCACAGAGATGAAGGTATCAAATAAAGCTGCACAAGCAGCATACAAGAGTGCACAGAAACATGGTAACAAAGATTTGATCCCTAGTTCCGGAAGAAACAGTATGCAATCTAATCAGTCTAAGGCTTTGGAAAATGTTTCCAAGATAGGAGAGACTCACATTTCTGACCCAGATGGCTCTGAATTTGATGTTAGAGTTCAGCCTGGGAATATGTTTCTGGATGGTTGCAAAATTTATTTAAGTGGATTTTCTGGGCATAAGTTGGAGAAGCTTAGAAAGATCATCAACTCTGGAGGAGGGACAAGATTCAATCAGATCAATGAGATTGTATCGCATGTTGTTGTTGGAAATAGAATCAATGCAGATATTGATTTGTTGAGAAACTGTGATTTTCAAGCTTTTGTTGTTAGTGTTCAATGGATTTTGGATTCTGCAAAGGAAGGGAAAAAGCTACCAGAGGAAAGTAAGTGTGTTTCACCTTTCCATGTTCACTTTCCAAAGAACAATTCTCCACAGTGTTAACTAATAGATACAATTCTTACAATGAATGACAAGAGAATTTGTTGTTAAATCAGGCAATATTATGTACATGTAGTTAATAATTTTTTTTTCACTTCTCATTACCTTTCTTCCCTAAGATGTACTGATTTTTTAAGTAAAAATTGATCTCTGGTCACTCCTTATGGGTAATAACATTGCTCAATGGGTAAAGATATGAACAAACAGTATTAAATTTTTTTAAACTTATTTTTTAATACCATTTGCTATTAATGATGTCATAAGTCACTGGTACATTTGAATGATTGATAACATATTTTATGATTATGATACTTCATAAAACAGATTCTTCTCAATATCTGGGTCCTCAATAATATGGAGATGAACTGAACAAACTCTCCCTTGGGCACTTTTCCTCTTACAAATGTGATAAAATCCTTTACTATATGGAAAAGAAGTCCTAAGGAAATCCTAGTGCAACGATTGGTTCTTGCTTGGTTGGGATTTTGCAAAATTGACCATTTCCATGGAAATGGTCATGCACCATGTATTTTTGTTTGCAAAAGACAGCAAATTCAAAACAAAAAAGTTTTGTGCAAGTGCCCTGCAGTAAACTACTTATTAACCTTGCTTCCTTGAGCTGCTGAGGAATATAGGCCCTCAGTTGTTTCTGCACTAAACTCCCTGTGTTTTGTCCATACTGCCACAACCTCAGGCCAATATTCCTCAGTGCAGTCCTCATGCTTGGTAAGAAGTTAATAATACTTAAGTCTATAATTTAGACACAAGTGAACTTGACCCTTGACTGGATGCAAATTATTATCTATAGTAATTTGAATCACTTTTTTCCATTGTATTTTCTCTTTGCAGCTTATCTTCTCTCAGATCTATTACAAAGGGAAGATCTTTCACTGTCATGCAAAGAGAACGAGGATCCTGATAAAGCCGTTTCAAAAGCAGCAAAAAGTGTGTCTGTTCTTCAGCCAAATGCATCAGAGGAAAATCATAAGGACACAAAGGCCAAGCCAAAGGAGGATCATTGTGATGGCGATGATGATTATGATGATGTTTTCTTACAATATCTGCCTCAGAGTGAAGGGAAAGGCAATGAACCTGTGCACAACCTTCCTCAAGGAGACACCAGTGCACAGTTCAAAGGTTCAGTATAGTATAGTTAACATGAGAATTATGAGTTTTCTGTAAATATTGTGGGTTAAAACATGTTAATAAGCAGACTGAGATAATTTCAAACTGACTCTTTTTGTTTTGGGTGCTTATGAGTCATTTGAAGTTATTACATGTACAAGAGGTGATTCCCATTACCCTTCAGATGCACAGAAGAGTTGTTAATTAAGATTCCTAGTTTTTCCCTTTTTGGTTAAATTGACTGGGCTACATCACCCTTAACTTGCTGTGCAGACCTTGAATTTAGTAATTACTGAAGTTTTTTCACTTACCAGAGCACAGTAGTCTAAGTGCTGATCCTGATGCTACACTTGATGACGAAGAAGAAGAAGCTTTCCAAGAAGGATTACTATCTGGAAAGTACTTCACAGTGGCTGGTTTTTCCAGTGAACAGCTGACACACCTCTGGCATCTTATAGAGGGCAATGGAGGAAAGGCTGTTGCCAGTGGACAAACAGCTGACTATGCAGTATTGCCAATGAACACAGTTCTTGAAGAAGATTTACATGCAAAACAGCTAGTAAGTAACTTTATGTTTGCATACTTACAGTATACAATTTTAACATGTTCTTCTGTGGAAGAAAACAATAATTTATAGTGAGTAAATTGTAGGAGACTGAGTGAATAAAATAGAAGGTGGCAAGGTGACCCTGTTATATTCATGGTAAAGATATTTAACTCCTACAATCTAAAATCACCAACCAGTAGTTTAAGAGGGTTCCATCACACTGTCTTTGAAACCTGAAGGCATATAAGGGTGGTTACTTGTGACAAAATTGCATTTCACCCTAGCTTCCAGAGTTGAAAACAATCAAACAACAATCAAAGCCTTGATTTGTAGGTCACTTGACTGCTGAGACTAAATTTTTTAATCAAGGTTTTCTTTTGGAAATGATAATTGAAGGGAAATGGTGTGGAGTAACAAAGAGAATGTGCTGCACATTGGGTCCATGGCAGACTAATAACCATTCAGGAATCAAAATTCAGCTTGAGAATTCTTCTTGGATGGACGTAAATGTTTAAATATCCTTTCTGATCCCTTGTCAAAACAGAAAGTGTTGCTATTTTATTTCTTTAGTCTTATCCTCTAAATGTTTTTAACAAGGGATCATTGTTAAAGTTAAGGGATTCACATTCAGGTAAAAAAAATTATCACAGGAAGCTTGCAGTTATAACAAAGTTGAAATATCTTACAGGTTACATTTTGCTGGTTAGAGAAGAGCTTGGAATGTGGCCATCTTTTGGTCCTGGAGAGTGGCTTTCTCTTTAAGCCATTCAGCATCCCAGATGCTGGAAAACCACTCAGTGGATGTGTTTTGTCAATCAGTCAGTTTACAGGAGTAGAAAGAGACCACCTGTATCAACTAGCAGAACTTCTGGGTAAATCTTGCCAAAAATGATTTAATTTTTTTCTTTTATTGTAGTATGTTCAAAGGGTAGATAATGTTATCTGCTGGATAAAGCTCTCTCTATTTGATAGGGCTCTATGTTTTGTTGACACTTTTCCACTTGATTTTAATTTATCCCTTGGATAGTGTCATCCACCCTTTAAAAAACTAGACCCAGGACAAGAGTGTTCAGTTCTCAGCAATGGTTTCAGAGACTGCTCCCTCTATTAAGGATCTGTCATGTACTGAGTTTTTTCATGGTTCTTGCTAGTCTTTTGTTAGTCCTAAGCCCTCAACTCAAGAAATTCTCCATATTGTCTTCCATACAATGATTGTGACTTTAGTTTGGGGAAATTTGGTATTGGATCAATTAGTAATCCCTTATGTTGGGTTTTGTTGATCTGCCTCTTTTTCTGTTGTCTCCACCAAGGGAAAGGCTGAAGGCCATCACAGAGTAGGATTTTAACTATTTAGCTTCAGTAAATGACTGCTCCTCTTGATTGAAAAGCATATACCTCAGTTATTTAAAACATTTTCTTCAGTGAAAAATGTTTCTATTTTGCTGATTAGGTGCTCATTGTCAGGAATACTTTGTTCGTAAAGCAAGTGGGAACTACGAGGCCAGCACACATCTCTTGTGCCAACATCCTGATGGAAACAAATACAAAGCAGCTATAAAATGGAATATCCCTGTAGTAAGTAGAGATTGGCTATTTGCCTGTGCCTCAGATGGCACCTTGGTTCCCTTTGACAAGTATCCTGTCAGCAGTGATAAAAAATTGGCAATGGATGTCATCGATCCTTGCCCACCAGAGGAACTGAGAGTAGACAATGAGGATACCAAAGACTCGACTCAACTCTTGAATTTAAAAACTGACAAAGTTGAACTTCCAATGGAAACAACTGATGATGCATCTGTCCCTCATGGACAAAAGGCTAACAGTGGCTCTGGTGGAAGTACTGAAAAGCAGCCTGTGAAGAGGCCATCTATGTACTTCCGTCCTTTCAGACCTTCATTTGACTTGGCTGATGTGATGGAGGAGCTGGCTTCACCAGCTTGTCCTAGCCTAAGAGGCAGAAAGAGTCGGGGTAGTAGAAACAGCTTTCCACTGGGTGATTTATTTGCAGAGAACATCAAACAGACTCTTCAAAAACTGGGCCCTGTTGCTCCAAGCGCAAGGGAAAGTGATGAGGGGAATGACAATGATGAAACTTTTGACAATGTCCAACAGGAAAGAGAGGTTTGTTTTTGAAATATTAAAAGCTGTGAATGCAAAGTACATGTCTCATTTGGGTCATATCATCCTTAAGAGTTTACAATGGGCTTCATACAAAATCTTCACTTAGCAATACCACCACAAGTCACTTTTTACCATCATGGTATTTCTTGTTAATGCATTATTACAATAATATTCTTTTTATCTTGTCACTATCATTATTATTATCTTTTATTATTATTACCATCATCATCATCACGTAATAGTAGAATATAACCGTTATTTGAGAAATAACTGCAGTTGATTATTATATAATTGAGAAATATGATCTATTGGAGGACAGACGTATAGATGATTGATTAATAAACAGTCAAGTAACACACTCGGCTGCGCCTCGTAACTTTTTTGTTCTTACCACATTTTGACGTTCTGTATCTTTTAACCATTAACTATTTGTTAAATAAACAGTCAAGAGCCGAATAATTCTGTATTTTAACCATTAACTAAAATTGGCTTACTAAGTGGATTTGACATTAATTTGTGCTTTTATTGGGCAGGAAAATGGAGAACCTCAACAACAAGGTATTCTCGTTGGTGTCATTTTATCTGTGAGTAAAAAGTTGGCTCAGCAACAAACAGAACTCTTCGCCTTGGCATCATCTCTTGGAGCTGATTATCGCAGGCTTTACGATGGATCATGCACTCACCTTATTCACCAGGTTAGAGAGCAACTATTTTAGTTGTGTCTCGAGGTAAAAGTAGGACAAGTGGCTCGCATACTTCTGAGATTAGCTATTCCTAAAGCAGGTGAATAAAGGCGGTAAGTTTCTAAAGGAACTGTGGTGGCGCTGAGTTGAAAATGTAATTTGGCCACTGTAAAGAGTTTCTAAAGCTGATGTTTCAAGCGTTAGCCCTACGTCAGAGCAAAATGCCAGCATCTAGTGTCGTGATGAAGTGTCTTGAAAAGATGATGAATTTTTGTGTTTGGTTGACAAATTTAGGTAGAGGTATCATTTGTGTTGAACGAAAAAAAAATAATCATATTTCTCACCAGGGTCCATCCAATGACAAAACTAAGGAATATACACAGGCAAAGGATCGTGGCATTCACATAGTGTCTCCTCATTGGCTGTACAGTTGTCAAGAAAAAAACGAGCGAGTTGATGAGACCATGTATCCACACACCTTTAATCCAAAGTTAAGTCTGCCTGTGGTGACAACGGGAAGACGAATGACAAGATCATCTCGAGCTGTAAGTATTGTCGTGTACAAGCCATGTTTAGTTTAAGCTCCCGCAGCAATTCTCGATTTAGTTTTAGAGCGCTTTTTGATTGAGTGTCTTAAAATATTAGCCAAAGTAATCATAACGGCCAATCTGAAGGAGAACTGGAAGTAAAAACAACTAAACTCCATAAAGCGCGGGAAAACGCGAACGACCAAGTTGTGATTGATTTTAGTTTTGCATTGATTGGTTGAGAGATTTACATGAGTTTTAAGGACCAATCACGGAGTGAAGTAAAGCAAAATCAATGCAATCCCGTATTACTTTCGACAATCAATTGGAAATTTCTCTGAAAGCTTACCTTGGGATCGCCAACGCACCGGTCAACGTTTGCGTATGTCCATCGGCTAGGTGGCTGACAAAATCAAGCTGCCTCATAAGGGTTATTAACAACCACTCGAGTCAGTAATTCACGAAGTTTTCGACGAAGTTTTTTAATGAAACTCGAAACAAAATGCCAAATGATAAAAACCCCTAACTTGAATACGTTTTACAGATTTCTGAGAACGTTTCAATTACTTCGCAAAATTTTCGTCACACTGTTTATTTCTTATGTTTTCTTTCTAAATTTTGCGCGGGAAATTGGCGCGCGGCCGGCCAAAATTGATCCATTTACGCATGTCCGACGTTGTAATGGACATAAAGGAAGAGTTGAGACATTGGGAAAGAGTACCCGCCGCACGCCCATTTCTCGCGCAAAATTTAATGGTAACCGAATTGTTAACTATTAGAGGCAGTAACACAGGGAAAAGTAACAAAGATAGCCACGGATAGGAAACATTAAAACCGACTGTAATGACTAACTTGAAAAATTGAGGGAAAAATTTTGTATAATGAACTAGCCGTTACTCATGTTGACTCCTTGAAAGCTCTGTCGTAGGTTTCCCGTACAGTATGAAACGGATATCGATCACTTTGCTCGCATGTCAACTCGCCGACAGCATTAGTTAACTCACTGACATTCTCTTTTTTAAACGTCCTCGGTCATCTCGTGGATATCTTAATTTTTCCAAGCTTTTTTACTTGGTTTGCCATCTGTGATGATTACACTCTCTTGATTTAAAATACCGTCGTAGCCATCTAATACGATTATAAAAAGCTGTCACTTTGCAAATGACTTGGATTGTGAGTTTTATCTAGCAGCGTGGAATCACTCCCAAGTTTAAAAATTAACAAGGACTAAGGCAGCTTTCATCACTTCTTGATATGACTTAACAAATTCATCTGACATGGTAAAGTCATTTAACATTGTTAAGTCATCAGACGCTGTAAAGTCGGCGACAGATTACTTTCGGCGAGTCGATTGAAATACTTGGCGAGGTGACTTACGGTGTCAGAAAGTTGTTTGTCGGTGAGTTGACTCAACATATGACATGTCGGCTAAGTGACTGCATCGTATGCTTCTGAAAGCCTTGAGAGGACGCTTGAAACTTTTTTCATTCTCTAACTACAGGCAGCAACGGAACAAGAGATGTCACCACTAAAGAAACGAAAGTCACTCGCAACAAAGATGAGTGAGTCGAGTGAAACTGAAAAACTGAGCAAGACGGGAAGCGTGCCTGAGGAGTTAGCAAGGGAGGAACAGGCTGTGGAAGGCGATATTGCAGAAGAGGTTCAACAAGATCCTCAAATGGGACCGGCTACACTTGAGTCTCTAGAGGCCAGAGAAGATTTTAAACGTCAGCTGGAGGCGATCATGGATGCTACCAAGGTCAGGAATGTGTAGATTAGTGCCATTTTCAATTTAGTGATAATCCAGGGTTGGATAGGTTTGGTTAACTTAGCACTGTGATTGATCCAGGAAACTCTCGACATATCAGATGCAAAACCAAACATAACGGGTCTGTTGCTTGTGTTTTTCCACGATTGAGGATTGTGATGAATTTACCCTCTTGAAGTACCTCCTATAAGTACCTAAAATCGCTTGGAATTCTTTAAATTCAACGAGTAAAAGGTTGCTCTACCAGTTGAAACATTTCTTTTTCCTGTCGTGATTAAAATAAGGGAGAAGATTGTTACCTTTTGTTATTTCTTCGATTTTTGAGCTCGAAGGTTACCTAAGGTAATTTTGTTCTCTTTCTGGTGGCTGTTCGTTTCTTAAAAACAGCTGAAAGGTGCTTTGCTTTCTCTGCCTAAATCCTGACAACGCTTCTGGGTTGCTCTTTAAAAATACTCGTGTTTACTTTTGCGCGGTTGGTGAAATCTCGTCGTGTAGTGGCAGCAAATAAATGTTTTTCCAGTTAAAGCTACAAGCTTTCTTAACATTGTCCACAATAACAAACGTTTGTATTAATTGTACGGCGAAGTTGATGATGACTTTTCGAAACAAAGGTGAGAGCCTCAACAGCTGTTTCTTGTTCAAAGGTTTTATGGCGAAAAAGTGTTTCGTGAAATCCGGGAACACTCAGTGAGAAACACCTTGCGTACAAAATCACCAGTTTATTTAGCTGTAAGTTTAAAAAATTGAAACCTCACATTCGATGTACTTTTTTCTTAGTAAACTCAAGACCTTTAGTACCTAACATTTGCGGTTTAAGTTTTAAGTTCCTACAAATGAGATTAAAACGGTTCAGTTTTTTGTTGATAACAAGCAGCTTTAGCAATTTTATCAGCCATCATTCGTCGTGATTGCTTCATAGTTCTGCCTGTCATCAATCGAGAAAATTTGTTCATTTTCAGGGTTCTGTATTCGGCGAACAACAGCATAGTATTGTCACGGTGGTAGTGTGATCGTCAATTCTTTAAAAATAAAGAGAAGCTTAAAAGAAGGAGATAACGCAGTGGACAAGACTGACTCGAGTTTTCATAGCGTTTTTATGCGGCTCACTTGCTCCTTCCTTTTTTGTATAATGAAGATGGTTGTTATTTTGCGCAATTTTCCAGTGCGCATGTGAGACATTCAGTGTAATTAATCATTGAAGAAGTCTTTCCACTCGTAAACAACTTCACTCTCGTTGTTACCCCACGACTCGTCACTGTCAGAGGCACAATACGCCTGGTCTGCCTCTAACTCTCGAAGATCTGCAAGGACTTCTTTCTCCTCTTCTCGCAGCATACGTTCAATCTGACAAAGGTTGAAATGACAACAGGCGTGGCATTAAACTTCAGATTATTGTACAATTAAGGTAAACGAAAGCAAGTGGGTTGCTAAGGTGATAGAAAGTGGCAATTATTGTCTACGCACGTCTTATAAAGAATCATGAAAAAGCGATACTCACATTCTCTCTGACTTTCCTCGCACGCTCCTCTCTCAGGTTCTTCTGCGTGTATCGCTGATAGTTTTGCTCCGCCTTTCTGCCCTTAGATTTATCCATTTTCCGTCTAATAGCAGATTGCAGGTCTTCTCTGGCGGCAACTTGAGCAGTAGCGATCTTGTTTTTCTTACGTGAGACTTTAATCCCGGATTGCTTCTTTATCGCTATCATCTCATTTCTGTTTCTATCAGCGGCAGCTTGCTTTGCAGCAATTTTCTGAGCAGTAGCTTTGGAGGCCGCCTCTGCTGGGTGCGGTCTGATACCTCCTGCCCTACTACTGGCCCGGGCACGGATGTTCTCTAGCTCCCTTAGTTTTCGCTCTTCTGCTGCCAGATGTTTGGCGTTAATCTGCTTCTTCGATATCTTTGGCTGTCGTTCCAACTTGTTCAGCCTCCGTGGCACCCGAGCAGTTGGGCGGACAGTTGGCCTGTACCCGACAACTACTTCAAATGCAATGGCGTTGGAGGTTTCACCCATGAGCAAAGATCGTGTAGAACTTGCAGGCTGATAGGCGATCGTATTTGAACTTGAAGGCGTGCTATCTATTTGAGCTTCCAAGATTTCTCTTCCACTCTGCATCACCCGCGTCGCTGGGTCATTTGGGACTGTCGATCTTTGGGCTGACAAAATAGCTATTGCACTGTCTAGCGCTCTTCTCTCCGGATCTTCATGTTTGTCAGACAAATCTTCTGAATTGCTACCTGTTTCTCTAACCTTGGAGCTTCCCATCTCAGGTTCCTCTTGAAAGTTTTCTTTCCATGCAACATCTGGGTTGTTCACTGGACTGGGCGTCGTCTTATCCGCCGATTTCGTTTTACTCCCGACTGGTTTGAGCTCTTCAAAATCTGCGTCGCTCTTTGGGGCTACTTTGTTACCGGATTTAGAAAACTTAGATAAAAGAGATCCGCACATGTTATACGGCAAATAGCTCTGAAATCGCTAAAACTCCGTACTTTCGAAAAGTCCACAGCGCGAAGCTTCCAACAAGGTTACTTGTTTGAACGAACTGTTTTGAGTTGTCGTGGTGACGGTGTTAACGTGATAAAGGGATCTGTTATGACGAGGATTATGCACGCGCAGTGGAATTTTCGCAGCTATTCCTGGTGCTTTTGACTCCGTGCATTTACTGAAGGTTAATTATTTTGGCACCTCAAGTAAAAGAAAAATTGATCGTCTGTGTTACGTGATAATTTGCTTCGCTAAAACATGAAAGAGTAGCTTCTTTTAAAAACGCCAACGTTTGTCTTAGGTAGTGTGCTTGCGCGAGGAAACATTGATTAACTGATCGAAGGGCGCGCTATCTAACAGGGCCCCTTATTTTCACGCATACCTTCAAATTTCTTTCTCTGTTTTCGCGCCCACCATTTATTTACTCTGACATAAACCGCGATAATTAGTTAAAATATTTCTTACACATATTTCGTAGACCTGGTGCTGTTTTAAGCCTTTCTGTGCCATCATTTTGCAACAGTGTGTCTTAGCCCTATGCCCCCTTAGAGAGTTAAGCGAATGTGTTGTTTCAAATTCCTATCAATTATGTAATATCTTACGTACAGTATGTCGCTAACGATTCTTTTTTAGCTCTGTTGCTAGAAGAATCGACCAAGAAATCGAAACTGAACTCAGTGTTATCTTGTTCCAGCTTTACGAAAAAATATTCAATTTCCTCTTTACTAAGCTATCATGGTTTTATGTGTCATTTGTTGTCAATAGGTAAAAGGGAGACGAAGAAGCCGGCGTCATACGTCATCCAACAACTCAAGCAGCGTTTCCCACAATTCAACAGGAAATGTAACATCTGAGATGTCTTTGGCCACGAAACGTACATCATCAAGGCTGCGATCACGTGTTGGTTCTAAGGTACGTTGCCTGGCCTCGATTTTGTACCTTATCATACTTCCCTCCATTCCTCAGTCATTTGTGCTATTGTTACATTTACTCTCACGTTGCCCCTCTCCAGTCAGGAGTATAAATGGGTACCGGCGAGTTTTAAGGGAAGTCTGATGAAGTGGTGGAGGGTAACCTTGCGATGGATTGACATCCCATCCACGGGGGAGTGGTAATACTCCTATTCGCTTCATGCTGTAGGAACCGGGGGGCTCCAGCTGAATGGGCTCTTGGCTAGAGTATAGACTTAACCGTATTCCAATCTTTATCTGTCAGATAACTACTGTACCTGCGATACCTTGATATGCAAAGAGAGATTTGAACTTTCTTATCCCCTTACAACCGGTCGGGGTTCCTTCAATTCCCAATTAAGATCAACAACGATCGAAAAATAAATAAATGAAAATATCTTTAATGATAAGCTAACCAGGAAGATTAGGGAGTCATAAATTGGCAAGTAAAGCAGGCCAGTTACTTGGATTTGATTTGTGTTAACTTTAGACTTTAGTAGATGGAATTCTATCCGTTTTCTTAATTTCTCTTGGAAATACTTGTTTTTCATCCGTTTTGAGCGAGAAAGAAATCACACCCCCCCCCCCCTTCCCCCTTGTTTTGAGAAATGTTTGTATTCCCTTGTTAAAGTTGTTCCTTAAAAGCGGAGATAATGTATCAATTTTTACTCTCTCTAGTCTAATGAAGGTGATAACAGCAATTCATCCTCACGGGTCAAGTCCCGTTTGCCAGCAACCGATGACAGTGAACACTCGCAAAGTGATACTATCACTTATGACGATCCCGCGGGACGGATGGAGCGTGAGAAGATAATGGCACAGCTCAAGAGGGGCTGCAGCCCCAGCCCTGACACCCACACGGAGGACGAGGAGGAACACAGACCGTGCAGCAATACAAACACGGTAAGACTGATGCATATTGTGCCGCATAACGGTCAATCAGAAGGAAAATGAATACCACATTGAGCAAATAAGAAACTTAAAGTAATGAGTAGACGCGAGTGAACAAGGCCACGACTCGTTGGAGTTTTGCGTCCGATTGCATTCAGTCACAGAGCCTATCAGAGCAATCTTCATATGAGTGTCGTTATTAATCTGAGATTGCGTTAGTTTTACGTAACTTTGCACTGTGATTAATTCAGAAAAGTCACGCCATCCTTTCAACCAATCGTTTCGAAATTAAAACCAGTCGTGACTTGGTGACCCTCGTTTTCCCGCGCTTCTATTAGTTCTGAGTTCTCATTGATTCCATTTGACCTTTACCTTTGTTTTGATTGGCCGAGGTGATCAGTTTGGTTTTTTCGGTTTTAAGGGACTCAATCAAAATATGTACTTATGCAAAACGACATCAATCTCACATTATTGTTGACAGTTGTGAAACTTGCTCTAACGAAATGCAAAGGCAGCTGTCAGGTGTATTCTTTCTGCCCTTTCTTGTCTTCTGGTGCTTTGCATTCTAACTTGACACACACGACATTGCCAAAACCAAGTGTTCATTCCTGCAAAGCCTTTTTATAATCTTCCCTAAAGTACGCACAAACTCTTGTCTTAAAGGAGTCCACAGTCATGGGGGTCACGCACACCGACGCGAACAACGCAGCTGAACGTCACGTAAGAGAAATGAACGTAACAATTAAGTCTGACCCTCCCACACCTGTCACCAGTTCCACACCAGCAGCTCTGCCAATCGGCCTGCAAATCAAAGACACCTACAAACCCCAGCCTGTGAATCTTCTGGACACCACGGCACTTGATCAAACACAACCACGTGCTCTGTCTACGCCCAAGTTCCAGCTGTCGGTTATGACGCCTCAGGAGAAGATAGATTACTCTGCACTTATTGAGCAGCTCGGAGGACAAGTGTTTGACACGGTTTATTTTAATCCTGAGTGCACGCATGTGGTTGTTGGTAAACCAAACAGGTGAGTTACAAAACCGACTCCTTACTGTAATACTTTTCACGGTGACCGTAATCAAAAAAAAAAATGGAGAGAGAGGGACGGGGGGAGGGGGGGGGGGAAGATAAGAGGAGGTAATGAATCTGGCCGCTTGATACTTATTCGCAGTTAGCAATTTGTTTCTTTAAATACTTCTTTCTCCCTTTCATGCGGAATAGTAAACTTCCTGGGTGTTGTAGTTTGACTCCGTTGCCGTTCTCGTCTTGAAACAATGGTGCAAAACGGAAGATGTTCCATCTTATAGCTTTAGAAAGGGTTGTTACGGAAACCTCGTGTATTAGCAGTTATGCTGTCAAACCGAACTTTGTTGCCATTTTGGTTTTCAGTTTTGTAACTTCTGCCACGTTTATCGGTAGACTTTCCTGTTAGCTAACCGCAGCAAAACGGGAACTTAAGTCACTAGTTGCTCTTCCTGTTTTGCTTCTCAGAGGTTAGTAGTATTTGGCTAGTAACCCTCAAGCTAGACAATCAGCGAGAGCGAAAAGCACTTTTCACCTATGCGGTGTGAAATTGTGTAGGATGATTTTCCTTTCAAAATCTTTAGGAATGAAAAGTACCTTGCTGCAGTGGCCGCTGGGAAGTGGGTTCTGCACAAGTCGTTCTTGGAAGCCAGTCGGGAAGCTGGCTTCTTTATTGAAGAGTCTCCCCACGAATGGGGACAGGAAATCCCTGGAGAACCTCACAATAAACTTGCTGCTGCTGCTCGACGGTGGAGAGTCAAACTTCGCCAGGAAAGAGCGGTAAGGCTACAGATAAAACGAGGAATTCAGGGGCGAAAAACGTCTCTCTTTATTTAATTAAAGAGGGTAAATTTTGCAATTGTTATTATTTTATTTCTCACACGAAGCTTTTGAAATTGCTGATCCTTTCAGTTTGTGGAACGCGTGTCATATATGAACCTAGTTATGGCCAAGCTCAGCGTAGAGTCTCAAGGGCTCAGCATTCACCACAATGTTCTCCCTGTTCCCAGCAAACTCAGTGCTCAGTGTCCTGCACTTTCCCGCATTAAGTTTAAAGCTTACTTAGGCTGCTTCCTCTGTCAATCTCCCAGTCTTCTCACGCAAGTCATTAAACTTGGAGGAAAGTAGTCCGATATCGTCCGCACATCGCATCGGACGACATCGTTTGAACCTTCAGCTTTTCAAAAATTCGCTGTAGCCATTATCAAACTTTTTCAATTGCTACATTTAGTTGAAGATAAACAAAATAGTCCTGAGAAGACCTTTTGTTCCTGGCCGTGACTGAGGTTTCCACAATCTGAGTAGATGTCAGTATTGAAGGTGACGTCTGTTCCTCTCATTTGTTAAAACGTTGGCCATTACCATAGATAAAAGCCGGCCTCAGTCCCAAGAATGCTCACACTCAGACGATCACTCTCCACGATCAACTGATACTCCTCAGCTAAAAGCTTTTTATTGTATTGTGAAAATTTTACTCTAACTCCTAGGCCGCTGCCGAAGCTGGTAAAAGTCCATCGTCCTGCGGTGCATTCAATAGTTGGGTGGTTCTTCTGTGCGTGGACAAGTCACGGCAGCCAGGATTTAAACGTCTGTTAGAATCCGGAGGGGCTAAGGTCTCGGGATGCAGGCCACCGTTCAAGAATACTAGCGACTTCACGCACGCATTTGTAGGTAAGTACTGTGAACTGGCTGATTTTTCCTTTAGTTGCTCACGCAACTAAAAGAAAAATCGCTCAGATGAAGGGCTAACGCTCGAAACGTCAGCTTTAAATTTCTTGACGGTGGCCAATTTACGTTATCAACTCAGTTGATAATTCCAAATTACCCTGTTCCGCTCTCCCACCGACGCAGCATCAAAGTTTCTTTAGAAACTTACCCACTTTATTCATTTGTGGGTTGAAAGGTCCGAGTTCGACTCCCTGTCGGGTCAGTGTACCTCTCGTTACACAACTGACAAACTGCCAAAAGGTAACACAGTGATAAACTGGCATCCTGCCTCAAGGGAGTAGCAATACTTCTGGTCACAAACCGGGGTAAACTTTCTCAAAATCACCTGGGAGTTTAAACGACCCACTTTTTAGGTCCCTCTATATGTGTGACATTACTTAAATGAGTCGATCAATTCGAAGCTTCAACATTCCCCCCTCCCCCTCCCCCGACAACCCCCGAACATTTGACCTTCTGAAGATTGGTTTGTTCAAATGTCCGCTCCCGGAGCGAAAACTATGTTCGAATTCCCCAACCGACTTTTTTGTAAAAGGCAAAATCAGCGATCGTGAGTTTCTACATATTGATCAATCTTTAAAACCTAGACCTTGTAGACCTTTTCTTCTAAGCCATTTGCTGGCGAAAGTGAACTATTTATCTTAAACACCTCCATATTTCAAGAGAAACACTTTTATTCCACTGGAAAGACTTGACAATTCTGGTTCGAATTCCCCACCCAAGCCAGGTACGGACGACGGTCAAATGCTAGTGAGTTGCCGTGGGGGGGGGGGGGGGGAATATTGAAATATTGAAGCTTAGAATTGATCGGCGCATGACGTGCTTGCAAGAAAGTTTAAAAAAAATTGTCGCCGTTGCTTATCTATTGAATACTTTCTATTGTTATTTTATTTTAGATTTAGCTAAAACGAAAGTGGATTCTTCTGACCTGAACGCTCTTCAAAGGGATAATGTTTGGTGTTTGAAGCCAGATTACATTGCCGAGTATCTAATGCAGGATCCACCACCTCCCCCTCAGAAGTACTTACTCTCAGAACCAGTTATACCTGGTGAACAAGACAGATCGGTTCCTGGGCAGTCAAGAAAGAGAAAGGGGGATGATCTTACTGGAGGCGATAAAAGAGTTCGTGTTTAATTTTAAACGATGAGAGATTGTAAGGCGCTCGCTTGATCTTGTGTTAAAAGCATTAGTACTACGATGGCTTGGAGTATAAATCAGTAGAGAGTTCTCGCATCTCCAGGAAGAAGTCAAGACTCGTCCCGAAACAGACTTGCTAAATTTGGAAGAAGGGGACTTTTACCAACAGAATTTGTGAACCAAAAAGATTCTAACCCCTCAAACCCTAAGAGTGACTCTTTACAGTAATAATGCTGTTCCATTCATTAAGATCTTGAGGATAAAGGAAATGATCGCCAACCTAAGAAACTTTGATTCAGTGTTAAACAAATTCTCTTTGTCAGTACCAAAGGAAATGTACAGAGAAGAGTATGGAGAATATGGATACTGATGTTAGGGTGTAAAGGGTTCAAAGAGGGTCTATTTTAGCAGGTTTTCCTAAGGTTGTGACCTGTGTCGTTAGCAGTTCTCTTTGCTGATGTATTTAACGATCGATTTTTTCCACGTTAAGTCCACTTGCTGAGGTAATTTTTCTCAGTCCAATGGTGTCATAGACATTTCAGAGTGTTCAGAACACGATGGGAATGTAGGCTCTGTTATCGGTTCTTTGCAGAGCCTAATTCCCTCTCTTGCATCGTTACTACCCACGTGATTTGTAGGACGTGAAAATTGACTGATTCAAACTACTGGTGTCTTTTCGTTTTCTTTTTAGAGTAAGTGAGGTAAATATTTATGACTTGAGTTAGACTCCTGTGAAATAACCTCTAGAGAAGTCACCTTTTGGGAAGTCACTTCATCGCAATCCTTTGCCATTCTTACCGTCTGTGGTATTGTCAAACAATGCTAATCAAATTAATTGTAACTTAGAGCATCCCCTATCAGAAGATTTATTTACCTTGAAACGATTTACGTGCTGGCTCAAATTTAGGAAATGGAATGTGACTGGCTAACTGTCCAGAAGAATGTTGCGTTTGAGTTAGCATATGTTGATCTGGAGAAAGGCAACGACGTCCTTGAAAGGACAGCGCGAAGGATGTGTTGAGTGACATACCATTTTGAATTAAAGATATTACGCATTTTATTGAGTTTTAAATGTCAATAAAGTAAGTATTTGATTGTTTTGAAAAAAACTTTGTCGTTAGTTTTTATTCTTAAATTCGCCTTGGAGTTTGGCCAGCGTTCCATAGCCCCTGACTTTCTAATTTGCGACACTCACCCAGATTGATAGTTGGCACTTGTGAAAATTTGGGGTGATTACGAAGCAACAAAGGTGTCTTTTTCCTGCCTATTCCTTGAATAAGAAGAAAGGAATAGACGCTGTGCACACAAATTCCACAGCAGGGCCATCTCTTGGTGTAAGGGAAATTTATTTTGGATACAAACGAAAGAAAATACTTATTACTTATTACTTGCTTTGTGTTGTATATAATTAGTGTAAAACAGTCTGACCCAACACTCCCCTGATTTTGTCCCACTCTCCGTACCAGGCTCTTTCTGTCGTATCCAAGATGGCGACTGGCATGGCTGGTGTCCGTCGCTTGCCTCTTGTTGTTATTTTGGGTTCTACTGGGACAGGAAAATCCAAACTAGCCATCGAAATAGGTAAAAGGCTTGGCGGAGAAATCATCAGCGCTGATTCTATGCAAGTTTACAAGGGTCTGGACATCATAACGAATAAGGTAACTGCGGAGGAACAGTCGCAGTGCCCTCACCACATGATCGATTTTGTGTCACCGCTGAAGGAATTCTCTGTGGTAGATTTCCGAAATATGGCTTTACCTTTGATCGAAGACATTAAAAGTAGGGGTAAAATTCCGATAGTTGTTGGTGGCACAAACTATTACATAGAATCCGTGTTGTGGGATATACTGATAGATGAAGATAGAAACGACAATTCCTCAAGCGGTGAAGAACTTGTTGAACCGGAGGGCCAGGGTCCTTCAAAGAAAATAAGAAAAAGAAAGCTTCTTGAAAGCACAGGCGTTTTAGGTTCTGCTACAAAATATAATGAAGCAGTAGTATCTCCAGGAGAGGCATCCAAAGGATCAAGGCGTTCCGAGGAAAGACCTGAACTTCAGTTTTGTAATGATGCCGGAGTAAGAGGAGAAGATGAGCACAGTTGTAAGACAAGCCTTTATGATAAGCTTAGGGAGGTTGATCCGGCCATGGCAGACAGGATACACCCAAGTGATTCTCGGAAAGTTGCACGTAGTCTACAGATCTTTGAACAACATGGAAAACCACACAGCACAATCATACAAGAACAACAACAAAGACCTGGAGGCAATGCATATGGTGGACCTCAGAGATATAAGGATATCTGTGTGTTTTGGCTGCAATGCCAAAGAGACATCCTGAATGAGAGGTTAGATAAAAGAGTCAGTGAAATGCTGAATAGAGGCTTGATTAAAGAACTGTTGAATTTTCATAGAGAATATAATTATGTGTTAGCAGGAAAAAATTCTGAAGCCAAATACACTGAGGGTATATTTCAGTCCATTGGATTTAAGGAATTTCATAATTTTCTCATCAAACAGCAAGGCAAAGATTTTGATGAAAGCAATGCATCAGTTGAGGACAAATCACTTCTTAAAACAGGTCTTGAGAACATGAAGACAGTCACACGAAGATATGCCAAAAAGCAAATGATGTGGGTACGAAATCGCTTCTTGGGGAGACCAGTTAGTTCTGCACCCGATGTATATGGTCTAGATGCAACAAATCTTGCAGATTGGAACAATAGTGTCCTTCAAAATGCACTAGACATCTTAGATAGATTAATGAAAGATGAAAGACCAGTAATTGAACCACTCCCAAGGGTGATCATTCAAGAAGATCGACATGCAAGACATGTGTGTGAGATTTGTGAAAATCGTGTCATTTTGGGTGAAGAGAACTGGAAGAAACATTTGCAATCTAAATCACATAAATGGCATATGAAAAGGAAAGATAGGGAAAAACAGCTCAATGCTATCAAAGATCTATAATTAACTGAACAATGAATAAAAATTGAAAAACTCTTTTTAAAATTGAGGACATAACATCCCTAAGTAATACCAAGCTTGTTAAATATCAGACAAGGGTGTTGATTAATTTGTTCTGTGCTGGGAATCATTTCTCTTACCCTTTTGTGTGATTGACAAACATGAAGGAAATCTGTCATCTTGGTCTGATAGAAAAATGATCCCCTATTCATTAGCCATTAAAAGAGAAGTCTGGCTGTATCACTGTGTAATTCCTCTTCCCTTTCTCAGAAATGTAGTAGGGATGTTTGTAACTAACTAGCAATTGCTCAACATAGACTGATGGATTTCAGTGCAAAATTCTTATTAACATTTAACATACATGTACAGCATGTGGTCAGCTGGGTTTTTTTTTATTGACACAGGAACACAAGTTCACTGTACTTGCATGGTGGTATGCTGTTGTTTCACTTTTCTAGAACAATTTGGCAAGCATTAATGCTTGAGGTTATGGATGATTTTAATCTTTTAATCCTATAACTCCCAGAAGTGATCAGCATGTAACTTCTCCCTACAACATCCATACAATATTCAGCAAACAGGTGATAAGAAACCTTAAACTTATCAGGTAGCAGTTGTCACCTTGATCAAACACCAAATTCTGGTAACTAACTTACAAAGAAGTGTGTTGCAGCCAGAGGGGAGAATTAACAATACAATCTTGGAAGTTATAAGGTTAAAGGAATCCTTTCTAAGTTTTTTATTTACTGTACACTCAACAACTGGCATTGTGTTTTGGTTTATATTTTAACTTACCATTGAAAAGTTATGGGAATTATGGCATCTCTGACACAATATAGAAGCATAAAAAATTATTTCAAGAATAGTTCTGTTGTATTGTGGGAACATTGGACCTCAAATAATGCAAAAACTGCAAGAATTTGTGCACCCTCATTAGTTTTCTTCAGCAAAGGATTGCACACATGGGGTGGTAAATGGATTCTGGAAATCTTGTCAAACTATTTTTTTCCAATTTCTATCCTTTGTCTAGATCATTTCCTACCAAAATTCCAGGTTCCATTGGCTACCGGTAGTTTCATTGTTTCCCTTACTTGAGCCTTCACTTGTTTTGGTCAGTGACCTTACAAAAGAAATACCGGAAAATTCAAAATGGCGGCAGCAGCCCGAGGGAAGTTTGTGTGGTTAGAAACGCTTCGTAGTGCAAGGAAAACTAGCCTTGTTCAAGATGGTAAGTCGCGAGTTTTACCCAGAGCTAAGCATTTTAATGAATTATTTGTTTTGGAAGACTGGTTCAAGGCTAAAAACAGACAACGAAGAAATTTCAGAACCAATCAGGTTCGACATACGTAAACAACCGTATCTAAGGCACTTGTAATAGTCAAAGGTTCGATTATTTGCAAGAACTTGTGCTGTTTCGTGTCCTTGAAAATTATTTGTAAACTTCTTGAGATATGCACAGTATTAAAGTATTCAAACATTCCTTATTTTCGACAAAAGCTGAACTTCTTCCGTAAATAACAAATCATGAACATACGACTGACTGTCCAAATGTGTAGTCTAAGGGTTTTAGATAGGAATCAATTTTAAAAGGTTATATGGTTCAGTTGTAAATAATATACCCTTCAATGTATGGACGTGACATTATTGCTGTAGGCCATGGCAAGAGAGCTTGTTTTATGAATTAATCCCAAAGTTATTAATTGTCTACAGTATTCATTTTCATCTTTCTCTAGGTCGACAAAAAGTTCATTATACTTTTCCTGATGGAACAGAGATGGTAGAGGAATATGAGGTATCTTCTGGAGAACTCTTGGGTGAGTTCAGTTAAAAAACACAATCTTGATACAAAATTTACAAGACAGTCGTACTTCTTTGAGAACACTTTCACTAAATCAATGTTTCAGGAGAAATAAAGGATACTTGCTGAATTTTCTCAGTAAAGATTGACATTAACCCATTTTCTCCTAGTGAGGAAATGGAAAAAGAAATCTACACTCGGTAGAGAAGGGAAATGGGATTATGAGATAGGTGAAGACCTCAGGCCTGTCAATTTGGATATGGAAAATATCAGTGAAAGTAGAGGAAATGTAAGTATGGTGTCAGCCTCTAGGTATTAACAATTTTATTCACTGGTTCAATTCACAAGTTCTAGTCTAGTTCTCACAAGCAGCAATCTGTTAATAGTCCTTCATTTAAATGGACACATTTTAGGATAGGTAGACAATTTTTGTGGCTCCTGTGTTGTCTGTGTTGTCTGGTTGAACTGTTTGTGTCAAAAAACAAACAAACAAACAAACAATTCAAGGATAAACCTGTTATTTGCTTTATTTTATTTCTCAAGCAGTACACTACTAACACTTTCTATTACTCAAAAAGTGTAACTGTTGTAGTCGGACTTGATTTCAAACAACCTTGATTTGTATTCCTTCTTGTTTAAATATGGTAATGTGCCTAAAAAAGCATCAAGTTTTTAGAAAATAGTTTTAAAATTTTTTCTATCATGTTATTGGTGTATTAAAAATAATTTTTTGAAGGAGTACAGCATGCTGTTTCATCAATTTTTTCTCCTTAGCCCATGTTTACAAGAAAAGACAATAGTAAAGCCTTTCAGTGGAGAATAAGAAATCTTCCATATCCATTGGAAGTATACAGTGTGACAGTTGATGATGACAAACACTCCATGATAATAAGGACAAGCAACAAAAAGTACAGTTTGTATGACATTTCACACACACTCATCAGCACAAGCTGAGCTTGCAAGCCAGGGCTTAGAAGGTTATGGAAACTGGGTTAAGCTTTGGCTGAATTAATTTTGGTGCTTAGGTTAGTTTTTTTACTTTTTCAGATACTATAAAAGGTTTCAAATTCCTGACATGGAGAGAGCAAAAGTGGACTTGGAACAGAGTGCAATATCTATAGCCCATGCCAATAACACACTCATAATCACAGTGAGTTGAACATTTCCTTTCATTGATCAGTTCATCTTAAGTAAACCACAAATTTTTCAAAGTTTTAGCTCTTGTTGAGATGTTTTTGGGAAATAATGGTTATCAGTGACATGTTTTCAAGGTGATTCCTATCTTGAGGGGATGCCTATGGGATTCTCCTCACTGTTAACCCAGTACAGGGTGTCTGTGTCAGTCACCAGTAGAGAGTTTCTCACTAACAGTGGCCAACATACTCTCTACAGAGGCCAATTTACATTATCAACTCAGTTGATAAAGTTAAATTATCGTCTAATTCACTCAGCAAAAGAGCACCACAGTTTTTTAACCCTTTAACTCCCATGAGTGACCAAGACAGAATTTATCCTTACAATATCAATACAATATCAAGCAGACAAATGATGAGAAAAAGAAAAGTATCAATAAGGGGATTACGAAAAATCAAGAAACTTCCTCCATTTCTGCTAAGTTAATGTTCTGTCAATGGCATACCAGTAGTTTTAGTTGAACCTCAAATTGAACAGAGTTGATAATAAGCAACCTAACTTATGTTGTCATTTTGAGTAACGCTTCATCTACGGAATAAACGTTTTGAAATAAGACAGTGAATCTGAAAGCCAAAATGTTATTGAGCCATCTCTGTAAAGCGGTTTGAATGCTTTATTAAAGAGTGTGATGTCTGTGGAATATGAACCTCAGTGTAATTTTTGTGTTCACAGTACAAAAAGCCCCCTTTGATTCTTGAACAAGAAAAGCTTATCCGACAGGAACTAGTCAAAATGAAATCAAGTCGCGACGGAGATGTGGAGTGCACACCAAGCTGACAAAAAGGTCCATATCTGGTTATTGTGTTGTAACTTGCTCTCTTCAATGTAAGAAGAAGTCTAAAGAAGCAGCTGGGTGACATCATCAGAGTCGAATCAAGAGTTACAAAACAATGAATTGCGAAAGTTGATGTAAATTCTTTTAACATAATCTGCTCTGTTTGATAGTTAACCTGTAAAGTTGGTGAATGGAAATTTATTGCGTAATAAAAATTTGAGTGCCTGTTCTGCTTTAGACGTATGTCTTCAAGACCCTGCCTGGATTATAGTAGATTCAGAAATACCGTTTATTTACTGAGTGTAAGGTTTAAGACTGTCCTGATGGCTTGACTGGATTGAATTGCGAAAGATTGCCCGTGCTTTTCTGGGGCTTTGATCAACTTTAAAGGACTTGGCTTTCCTCTAAATAGATCATTTGGTTAAATCAACTGATTTGATAAAGTAATTTGGCTACCGTCGATAAAGAGTTTTTAAAGCTGACGTTGCAAGCGTTAGCCCTTCATCAGGCTGAGATCCAGGGGCTAACGCTCGAAACGTCAGTCAGCTTCAGAAACTCTTTACGGTGGCCAATTTACATTATCAGCTCAGTTCATAAAACCAAATTATCTGGTTATACCTTCCCCCCTTACCACACTTTCCATAGAAACTTACCCCCCTCCTTTCCTGTAACTGTTGCGCAATTAAGCAGTGACCTGCTGCAGAGATATGTTGATTATAAAACATTAAAATGAAAGTGATAAGGTGCCTCATACTGATTGAACCAGTGTTACCCGCATTTAAGACAATAGCAGTGAACTTTCTTCAGTGATATTTCCCATGGAATTTCTTTATTTACCCACGCTACTTGATTTTCAGTGTTTAACATCGGTTTAGCGGTGAGGAGTTGTACAATGATACCTGGCTCTGTTGTCCCTCGCCTCAGTTTCATGTAAAACGGCAAAAAATTTAGGAGTTAAGGATAAAAACTGGCAAATTTTAACCATCGGTCGTAAAGAGATTTAACCGTTAAAATGTTGCCTATTTGATGTGTCATTTTGGAATTTTTCTCTTGTGGGCAATGCGAGAAACAGGAAATACTCTATATCCTCCCAACAGCAGTTTGATCTGGAATAACCCTTGTTTCTTAGCTCTAATGGTTAAAGGGAGAGCGCAAATGTATTTTAGAACAATGAAAATGAGTTTTCTCGAGAGATTATACCAACCTAAATGTTAAAGTGATATATTGATCATTGTTCAAATCAAATCGTGGCCTAATGAATGGAAACATTACCAACAATTCGGTATCTTTATGCTTGCGTCTTACGGCTCTCTTCACATCACAGAACAGTTTATTTCATGTAAGAGCCGCAAAACTGCTCCAAAAATTAAATGTTAGACGTAAAAACTGACAAATTATAACAGTTTTAGTCGAAGAAAAAGTTTAACGTAAAATGTTTTCCTATCTACGTTTGAGTCATTTTGAAAATGTTAAAATCTTAGACTGTTATGTATCTTGTCTTGCAGCTAATGCGGGAAAACAGAAAATTACTCTACATCCACCTAACAGCACCTCAATCTGGAAAAACCCTGCCTGTTTCTTGACTCTAATGCAAAAAGCGAGCGCGTAGATGTGTTTTAGAAAACTGAAAATTAAACATTAACTTTTCAAAATGATTGTAATTAATTTTCAACATTTCTGTAAACCGTCACAGAAGGAAATTAACTGTTAGGCGTAAAATGGTCAGAATTTTAACCGTTGGCTGAAAAAGCCATCACCCCATTGAGACCCTTTAGTGAAAATTCAAACAATGCCACTAATCCAAGTCATATTTCTCATGGGATTTTTCGAACTAAAAGACCGCATCCAAAACTGTCATCTGTGTATCAGTTTCAAACCGAGATCAACGGCGTTCCTTATCTTATTCCCACGACTGCTTGTACTAACAGCTGAATTTATTTAACGTTCAGTTATTAACTCCTGCTCCAACAGGTGTCGCATTATTCTTAAACAAAACCATTCAAAATTCTCATGATAAAATTTCTCAAGGACCTTACGATTTACTTAATCTCACGAATGGTGTCTCCCGCGTGTGTGGGTTGAATAGTTATGACAGAGTTGTAAGCGCCACTGTTTTAGTTTCATTGACTTTGAGGTTGATCGATGCAAATTTTCTTTATCTTGTTACTTATATTAATATGTTGAACTTAATTTTAGAGTCAATGATTATCTATTTCCATAATGGTTTAGACATAAAGGTTGGGACATTACCTCTATTTTTAGCAATATTAGCAATATCGGAAAATCGTCACCCACACTTAATCGATTCTACCCCTTTTCCCAAGTTTCCTTTGGTTATCGCAAGGACTTTCGTTACTTTAAAAACTGAAGGGAACAAAATTTAATTTACCTCAGCTTTTAGCAGCTGAGTTTATTGAACACACTGTTGGCTCTGTACCGGCAGGTAACGTATTTTATTAAAACAAACCCATAGCAATTCATTTTAATCAAACTCTTTTATCTTCTCAAGGGCCACCGAATAATTAATATCAACCTGTCTTCTCACGTACACATCATTCAAATATCTTTAGTTTAAAGGTCAAATGAAGTTGAGATAGAAGGTTAAACTTTGGTTGAAAATCACAAATTGATCCTGTTGAAAATTTCAGACCGTTAAAGAAAACGGAGTGACGCGTCGTTCTGGGAACTCTTTTCAAATTTACGGATGGAAATTATTTTCATCTCAAATCCCGAAACGCGTGCCGGAAATGCTCAGTTCGACTTACAATTATGTCAGCAAGTATTTTATAAAGTTTATCGGATTCGTCATTGGCGACGGCAGACGGGCGAAAGTGGATCAAATTTTTCTCAATTACAGTATAATCCTTAAATGAATGCTGTAGAAAAGTTGCAAAAGAGAAACCCTGTGTGTCGCAATCTATGCCAATATTTTAATTAAAGTGTAAAGAAAGTTGAAATAAGAGGTTAAGAAGGTTAATGTTTGCCTTTTCCTTTTGCCGTAAACGCTACTCCTAAGCTCTTGATTGAGAAAAGAACGCGACCGGCGCTTTGACTTTCGTTGTTAATATTAGTACAGTAAATTCGTGTTATATTTTCAGTGAAAAGGCAAATTTCTCTCGCAAGTTTAAACATAAATGATCGGATTCAGAGAGATTTTTGAACCAAACTCTCATGGAGTTTGTAAACAGAATGAGAGAGATGGTATAAGTTTTGAGCTCGATAAAGAAATAGAGAAAGAGGTTTTTCGTCTTGTCACGTGCGTGGGACAAATAGAAAATTCTGAGTCCCCATGAGGGATCGAACTTCAGACCTTCGAATTCCGCGCTCCGATGCTTTACCACTGAGCCATGAAGACTCTACGGTGAGCGAAATTCGTTTGACACGCGTCCTGTATACTGCTAGGATCAGCAATGGTGATAGCGTCATGTTTGTAAATAGAATGAGAGAGATGGAGCTGTCAGGAGAAGTCTAACCTCCGTTACATCGTCCATCGTCTCATCAATCAGGTAACCCTTTCACCTCTTGGAGTGACTGGCCGCTAATTTCCCCTTACTGTATTTCCCTTTAATAGAATGTTAAAGTCATGAGAAGAAAGGAAATTATCCGCACCAATTTGAGAAACTCCTGATTGCTAAACAAATTCTCCTAGTCATAGGCATGAGAAATGTAAAGGGAGCACTGTGAAGAATATGGATACCAATGCTAGGGTGTAAATTGTTTAGAGTCCCTTCACCTGTTGCCTTGATGATAATAAGTGAAGGAGTTATTTTTGCCGGCGGTCAAAATGTTTGATAGTCAATCAAATTTGCAAAAGGTTTCACAGATTTTTTCAAACTAGAGAAGGTTTCAGAATTATCAATTTCAAGTTCAGAAATAACTGACTGTGTTGAGTAAGAATTTGTCGATCTTAATCTTACAAAGAGCGACCATGCTGTTACCTCTGAATATGTAGAATCACTGCCATATAATTAATAAACTGTACTCAATTATTGGTGGTTTAATTTTGCTGGCAGCTCGATCGCATGTGTGTCGTTTGTGGTAACTTGGATTTTTTCAGTTTCATTTATGAAGACCAATTTATTTTCAGTTTGAGTCCTCTAAGAGGAAATGGCAAATGCGTAAAGCTGCAATTATCTCCTTTTCACAGGACAATTTTTGCTGACATAACAAGTTAAGTTTCCTTTGAAAACTGTACAGAACCTTACTACTATTTATAACCACGATGGCGAAACAATATTTGCAAAAAAAAGGCGTGGATATGCAAAATTCCTGGTTTTCTTTCTTGTACACTTGAATTTGCTGAGTTTGCACTTTGTTGATATTTTACTAGTATTTTCACGGATTCATGTAAAATCATTATTTGTGACAAAATTCCCGTTGGCATTTGGGAAGGTTATCGAGAACTGTGGTTTGCAAATCATCGATCGTTGCACCATAAGCTAGCCGAGTGAAAACTCGCGTCAATGTTGCCATATCCATCTTGAAATATTTAGACATTACTATTTAAGCTCATCACTTGCAATCCAGGAATCTTTTATATCCTCGGAAACCTTGGTTATGTTTCAGACCGCATTCACCACATTCCACCGGCTTTTTTCCAAACTCGGTATTGTTTTACGCTTTTTTTTTTTTGTTACTTTAGTTCAAATTTAATTTTTTAATATTGAAAAGCGAATTGAAATATCCTTTTTTTTGGCTTACAATGCGACCTTGAGACTATGCACGTCTTGGCAACAGGGGCGACAGGATACCGTCAATACGCAAGTTACATGACAGAGACCGACAGAGGCAATGTTTATAAAATCAACATTTGATGATTTTTCAAGCGCTTCATTTTCTTTGGTTCGGTGACTGGAGGGAGGGTTGAGGGCTTCTCACAAATTTTATATCCTTTACTTTTAGTTACATATCTATACAAATAAAGGTGATTTCTTTCACTGAGCAGAAAGCATACTAACCAAACACTAGCCAAATGTAATAACTTATGTTTGACACCATTAACATACACTAAATGATGAGTGAATAACGTGTAACAGGGGAAAGCAACCGGCTTTAATATACGTCTTCCCAATTAAGTTTATTCTCGGAATTCCAACTGCATTATAAAGTAGTATAAGCTTTTAATTAGTCGGAAACATTGCATCTGTACTTCGCCAGCTTAGCGCACCAATATTTGGTTTATTTCCAATCTTTGACGTTACTGAATTGTGCAGCAAACAAGTATAAATACCAACTGTATATTTTTGTTGAGTTGCCAAAACGAGATTAAAAATTGAAATTGCGAGTTTACCTTTCATGCTCATGATGTTTTTGTGCTGTATTTCCAATGTTCGTCAAGCCTTTCGAACTCAAGTTGCTTTATTAAAAGCAAATATCGATAACAACTGTAAATTTTTGCTGAAGATTTGCCAAGAAAGGAATCGAAAAAAATTAAACTTTCCCATGCAGAAGCTCTGCAATTCAGCCTTCGTCGGGGTGCTGTATGCATTTATGCAAGTTAGGTGATTTTGAGATGTCACGAAAAGTCTCGAAAGAATTTCTACTGCTCGATTTCCCTCCCTAGTTTTTGTGGTTGAGCTCGCAGGTTGGGGAATCTTTTAGTCCGATAAACGCTTTGTGCACAATTTTCTTCTCTTCGCGATAAACGTTCAGTTAAGATTTTAAGTGATTCCATTTTTAAAGATGACAATTCGTACACTTAGAGGAAAAGTTGCCAAGAAACGGTTCACTGTTTGCCTTTTTGTTCTCGAGATAAGATCGAAATCTTCCGTCGTGGCATGGGTTGATGTCACTAATCGCTATGGAAGCACCTGTATTGGGCAAACTTTTGGAACTCAAGGTGTCGTTGCACATGGAGAAGCCTCGTGGAAGAACTTTTGGGCACTAAATCGAATCAACAAACTAATTATTGAATATTTTGTAAGCTGTTAACGCACTAGCGCTTTAAATTTACCCACAAGCATTCAATTGTCTGCAAATATAGGCAAGTTCTTCATAATTGCAAAGGGTGATCCTTAAGATTGGATATTGTAATCAGCAAATCTCCTGTGCATTTGTGGAAAAGCAAAATGATTTATTCTCAGAGAATTATACACATAAGAGTTTTCTTTTTTAGCCGACCACAATTTTTTCTTCTCCAGTTTTGTGATATAAACTGTTTTTTTTTTTGGAGTTAATAGCATGCGATGTGTATAAACGTTGTTGACGTTCAGCCAAATGAAGGTGACCGGTTTAAGCGGTACTGAAAATTTTGCATTTCGCATGAAATTTTGTTCAAGATTATTTCAATAACAGTGATGGCCCCATTTATTGTGAGTAAAATAAGTTGAAGAGTAAAGAACCATATCAGCTTATTTTGACTTATCTGCTGCTTCCCGTTGAATAACGGGAAGCAACAGTTTTCTCCTGTATATTTTCTCTCCAAAATAATCTGACTGAAACATAAATGATATAACAGACTTTATTGATTTTACATGCATGCAGCACGCTGTCTTTCATATCTATACAGAATGTTCTAAAACAATGGTTTCGGTGGTTTTTAGCTAAAATATGCGGCCACCTGTTACTTAAACATTCATTACATGTGACATTTGCAGACTATTATTCGGTAGAAATCTCCGGATTCTAATCATTTCTTTTCATAAATGCTCTTAAAATAACAATATACTCTATTTTCGCAAAATAAAACGGCGCTTGGATCTTCCTTTCTTTCACTCTTCTTAATAATCTCTAGTACGTTTTTTTTGAATATCAAAAGTTACTTTTTTAACATATCGTTTTACCTAAATACACTGTTATTTTTTATATTAGTTCTCCTTTTAGAAGTATTATCTTTTATAAATTTTATACCGTTCTTTTTGCTATGAAACGGCTAATTGTTAGCACAGTATTATTCAAGAGACAATCCGCACTCTTGTAAATCGCGTGAAGTATTTTGAGAGTTTTTATTTGGTACTGATGAGAGAACTGATGCATGTTCTACTGAATTCTCCATCCTGCTACGGTGAGTCCACCAACAATAGTCCTTTTAGGATCAGTAAAAGACTTGTTCTCTTTGAGAATCGATGAGATTCTTGAAAGGCATGTTTTCTCTCATTTGGTCGGTCACCGTGTCAGGAGTCGGCCGGGTGTTCTGTTGCTCTGGGCGGTGGTGACTGGCGTTGGTCTTCTCTAGATAATAAGCATGGTGAATACGTATATGTGTACGGAGATTACTCGAACTGATGAATTTCCAGTTGCAAATGTTACACTTGTACGGTTTCTCCCCCGTGTGCGTGAGAATGTGTGACTGGAGGTTCCCGGATGTTGTGAAGGCTTTGGAACATTGCTTGCACTTGTAAGGTCGCTCGCCCGTGTGGATTCGAACATGCCTTCGCAGATCGCTGGAGCTCACGAATGCTTTGGGACAGTACTGGCACTTGTGGGGTTTTTCACCCGTGTGCGTGAGGATGTGTCTTTGTAAATTGGTTAGCTGGGCGAAGCCGCGGCAGCAGATATTACACGTGTACGGCTTTTCGCCAGTGTGAATGCGGTTGTGAATCTTCAGGTGCGCTGCAAGCGCAAAGGCCTTAGGGCACTTCTGACATTTGTAAGGCTTCTGGCCAGTGTGGATCAGCACATGGCGTTGGAAATTCCATGAGCGAGTGAACACTTTGCTGCAGTGCTGACATGTGTAGGGTTTCTCGGCTCCTGTCGTGTCGGTGTCCTTCTCCTCTTTAATTGACGTGAAGTCTTCCAAGCGATCGTCTTCGGGAACTTTTTCCCGGCCCCACGCGCTCACCATCTTTTCCGTGTCTTTGGGGAAACCATTCTGACCATTCATTTCCCTGCTCGTATTGATGATATGCGGTTCATTGTTTGACAAAACCAGCGGTTGGACATAGGGAACCCCGAGACGATACAGTTCCGCTTGTGAGGATGTTACAGTCGGTGGGGTGTCGTGCGTGTTATCTGCGGACATAAAAAAATGTAACAATGAAAAGTTGCTTCAATGACACTTCGTTTACTTCAGTAATACACTTTTACACTTAGCTTAGGTTCGGGTTGCACCTCCCTCGAAGGAAACCGCATTATTAACACGCGTGGCGTGAATGAGATTACACAATTTATCGTTTATCATACGCAAAGTTTATCAAATCAGCTTAACAAGCCTATGGTCTAATAAAGTTGTTAAAGAAGCCAAGATTTTCCGGCTAAGCCGAACATTCAATGTAATTTGTATGGAAAAGTTTTCCTTAATAATTGGCCCTTCAACGCCTTTCTTTAGAAAATTGAAATTGAGGTAATTAGATTTGTTCATAATTATTCAGTTTTTACAGGGGTCTTAAATTGAACTTCTGAATCCCACATTAGCAACATTACCCCTAGACTGAAAAACGAAAAATCGTAACTGACTTCTTTATATCGTATGTCTGTCTTATAAAATTTGAAAGAGGATAGTAGCCCATTGCGTTTGTTAGCCCATGTGAACATTTCACTACAGAAAACAGTTCTGTTTGGGTTTTGACTATGAATGTTTAATGGTTTAAAATACCAATTTGAAAAAGTCATCGAATACCGCGAAGCTCTACTTTGGCGCATTTTAACAGTTTTGCTAATCTGAAGGCTCTTAAAACAAACCACAAAAATAGACCCAAGCACGGAATTTTACTAACAAAACTCTGGGCAAAAAATGTATATCCAAACGAGATGGGAAATATTTCTTGTCAGTCGAGAACAAAGCTCGCATGACTTACTCCAAGCTGTTGCGTATTCAAGAGTTATAGTAAAGCCTTAAAATAAAATTTCTACACGAGATTTGAGCTTCAATATAAAGGAATCTATGAAAAGATTTTTGGGTTTTTATGAGCCTGCTAACGACAGAACGAAGAAAATCTCTCCGCTGTTTGTACTCAAAGAATAAATAATTCAACACAAGCAAGAAGCTGTTCTGTAATCGTATAGAGAACAAAACTTTTGGACTCTTTTTTCATCACACCATCCTTTTTTTCTCAGATTTTGTCCAAAAGACTAAAAGAAAGCTTTCCGACTTCAAGAAGAGTACGACGGGCATCATTATAAAACATTTTGGGATTTTTAGCCGCTAATGATTTCGCTTTGATGCTTTTTAAAAGACCCTTCAGGTATTTTGCGGGTAGTAAGGTCGGCTTATGTTCAAAATACTCAACAAAGAGAAAATCTCATCAGAAAATCGTTAACATGGCCGTTCAAAAAATAAGAACTTCAATAGACGTTTTAATAATCCGGCTGTGTCTCCTTTTACGCAAGAAAAGAGCAGTGCTGAGATACGGTATTATTCTCGAGAGGTCAGTCCTGAAATATTTTACTATCGGTCGCCACGCAGTGAAATGCACAATCAAAAAATGATTTATAAAATCTTTACACCCTGACTAATTCTAAGAGTAAAAATATTTTTCCTTGCTTGTAATTTTAAGTCCAATTTCTTATCTTATGACATTGCCTTAAGAAAGAAAATAGAGAAATTCATAAATGCTCACAACTTGAATTCTTGAAAATGAATTAAACTCAACTTACCAAAGTAAGTTATATTGCTCTTCTTGAATTCTTTCTTTTTGATTAAAAATGAGCGAGGCATTCTTGATCGATAAGGTTGGTGTGCTTGATGGTGTAAACTCTGCGGATGGATGTTAGTCCGAACTGAAGGCTTCTCTTTGACGTATGATTCAAGATCGAGCGCGCACTATCTTTAGTTTAAATAGACTGAAGAAACTTTGCGCTGGTTGACTTATTATAGGCGCCGAGACAGGTGCGAGAGGATCTACAGCGGTTGTAAACAATTTCCCACTTGCTATGCGGCGCAAAGTTTCGTTCATGGAAACTGAATGCCCCTTGATCATATCACGACAAAAGAATAACAGTCTGTTATTTAAAACAACAAAGTCTTTCCAATGCTACTGGCAGTGTATTAATTTATTAAAGACCTGCCTGGGTCCCATCAAGAATTCAATGCTTTACAGGTTGCGCGAGTAGAAAAATGACCAAACGACTAATCCACGCTGACAATAGGCCCCTGTCGGCCAATCTAAGCTAGAATATCGCATTGCGCATGCATGATAGAATAGTTTGTTTAAATCTTGGAAGGCTTGTTCGCTGCTAGTGGCGCGGGCGATCGACCAATCAGAGCGCAGAACGTCAAATAACTTTCGCATGAGCACAACTGAGCGTGAACAATTCTACCGATTAGAATTCTGGCCGACAGACTGACTAGCAAAAAGCACGGCGAATACTAAGGGATTCTACACATTCGTCTTGGTGTAAGCAACACATTCCTTTTCTCGGGTAGTAACGAGTTATCGTGATTAGGATGTCGTTAACACTTTTGAAAAGACTTTTCGAAAAGCGTACTAACAACTAAAGCGCTGTTCTTTTGTGGTGCGCGTTATAAAATTTTAATTTGAAAATATTTGGAGGTATGTTATTTGTCAGTGAACCATGCCATGTCAATTATTCATACAATAGGTAAACTTCCTTTTGTCCCCGACTTCGGAAAAAAAAAAGCTTTGAAATATTTCATTCGTCCTTACACTTAGTTGGAAACAGAAGTAGTTCCGGCGTTCCAATGAAGCCTCTTATCGACTTGTTAATATGTTTGATTTTCGTAAGCAGGGTCGAAGTTGGTGCGAACGATTTATCAAAACATTTCAAACAAGATAGACACTCTGTTCGCATGAGCTAATTACTTTGGAGAACATGCCTTTGTTTGATTTTGGCCACTGCTAGCGTTGTGCACTTAGCAACGCCACCAGTCGCTCTTGCCTTTGCCACTTGTTCGTTTGGTGAAGGCACGTGCACTGTAGAACAGGTGCGATACGACCCCCGAGCGATGAGAACAAAGCTAAGTTGAAATTCTCGCCGAGACAATAGGAACCTCTAAGTTGAGATTTTTTACTCGAATCTCGCTTAAATCTCAGCAATTAGTGCTTCAAATCTCCGAAATAAAAGAGAAAAAGAAAGCGCTGTGGTTGACGAGACAGTGGTTGCGTATTTTATACTCTTTGGCCCACAATAGGAGATGAACAATGCACACGGTCGGTCGGCGAGTTAAGTTTAAATCAACCTGTTCAGAACTAGCAAAATCGTAATGATGGCTGTCAGTGTATCATTACTCAAAGGAGAGTGCAGAAAGTTTCAAATATTTGCGCTTTATCTTTAGAACTCTAGAAATTAAAAGCTTGGTTTTCTGTTAAAGAAAGAGGGATTTTTTAAATTCTGGTATGGAAATGTTTTATTTTCGAATTTTCCTTTTGAAAATAAAAAATCAGATACTTGATCGCTTCCAAAGGCTAACGTGAGCTCGGCGAATGCGCAGAATTGGGTGAAACCTGTCAGGCAGATTTGCTCACTCTATTTATTCACTGACAGACAACCACAAATAATAACCGCATTGAGTTAATATAAGCCTGTGAGACGACAAGTCGAAGGAGTGACAGTGGACATCGTGTGAGCAAATAAAGCACCTAGAGACAGTTAAACCCGCATTTTAAATACAAGCGCATTTGGAATAAAGACGAACGAATTGCGAAACAGAGGATTACCAGAAGCTTCTTAGGATATATCACACTCAGTCTCTTTTCACGATGATGGAATGCTGCGAGACGAATAGAGACTACAAGTTTTAAAAGACACATGGCTCGGATTTACATGTGCTTAGGAATGTATTTTAGGTTCAAGGTGCGAGTTAATTAACTAAACAAATCCATTTAAGCCATTTACACATAATAATAGATCGTTACGAATTTCCTTTGCAACAGAATGTAACCACGCTCGTGTCAATATTGGTTTTTAACTTCCCACGAAGCGAGCAGAGAGAATCTCGAGGAATATTCCATGTAATGAGGTTCTTATGCTCACGTCAGGTGAACCGCATTCATTTTCAGGCTGCCTTGACGCATATTTAATAATATGGCACTAGTCTTAAGTACAATTAAACTGAGATTTAAATCCCATAAATCCGATAAACTCATACGAAACGAAATACGAGCGATCGATTCTACGAGTGTGAAAATTAACTTGATTCGTTCCGCACCCAGCTGCTGCAGAGTGAAATGTACGAGAGAGAAAGTCTATTTTTAGAGCAAATTTTTCTCTTGAATGATACGACTGATTTAATTCCATTCGTTTCGAATTATACCGGTTGACAAGACATAGCAGGTATACAGAGGAAAGGGTAAAATAGTTATTCAGTATATCTCTTCTGGATTTGTGCCAAATTAAGATACCTTCACAAGCTCATTTCTGATCTGGTGACGGAAGAAATCAAAAAGATGGTTGCAAACAGGAAACCTACTGAGGTCATTTAATTCAATAAGATATTTTTCCGACTGGCTTTAGTTACAGGGCCAATACACGCCAATACTGTGCAATAACCGAGATTTTGATTAAAAATTGCCCACGCTTTTCTTTCTTGTTGAAGGACCAGTTTAATTTCTTTGTTGAAACAGATGGCAAAATTCTATCGTTGGCTCGTGTCTTTATCGAACTGGCCCAGTCTCTTGAAATAAAAAACAAAAGACTAAGGGTTGGGGCGTTACTCCTGTGGAATTAGGACCTTTTGTCTTGTCATTCTGTGGTTGAAGCATGGTTTGCCATGGACACTATTGTCTGCGCACTATGGACAGAAAACTTGCTTCTATTACTAAGAGCTACACAACTTATGAGAACTGATTTGATAAATTCTTACTGAAACACCCAACGACATTTTAGTCAGAGCGGCTTAGAAAAAATAAAAATTGGAGTGGACAGCGGGACGGTGAAACACATTATCTGTGCGCATCTTTGCCTTTTTTCTAAAATTAGAAAATTCTTTGAGAACAGAAACACCAGCTAAGTCCGTTGGTATCGAAATAAAAAACGAGGGCTCATTTTTTTACCGCCCGCACGCACTTGAAGTCGGCGTTTGACCACGGTCAGCTTTGCTTAAAAATAAAGATGCGTGGGTTGTATATGTAAGTTAACCCCTTTTAGTGAGTGGGTTTGTTGAATTTGATGTAACTATCGACGCCAGCTTTGTGTACTTCTCTTGATGAGTCTTAGGAAGGAGGATTAAGTTCAGACGCTTTGAATTTCATTTTCTTTTTTTATACATATATAACTTCCTCAATCAAAACATAGGGTTATTCGATGAGAAGTTCAAATTCCTACTGCCTTCGTCCAAATTTGAAAAATTCAAAACTGAAAATGACTTTTTATCGACTGAAAGTTTCTGTTACGATGACTTTTTCAGAGGAAGAAGGAGGAAGAAGGAATTCGTTCGAAGAAGACAGCACAAAATCGATTCATGGTTTCAGTTTTCTGTAATATTTAAATGCCCAATATATTTCTTCAGTTTTCTGCTGGGATAACTGGTGGGAACAAGAGCAGTAGGTAAAAATGGACATCGAAGTTGGACCATGATTCTGCAAAGTGCGGGGTGAAGTACTCAAACGGAATTGAAGTGATGCGATTAGTGAAATGAACAGTGCCAAAGTGGTCCAGTCTCACTTTAAATTGAATACGCGTTTCTAAAATTATTATCCAAGGATTAAAACGTAACCTTCCCACGTATGATTAGACAAACTCTCGCTGAAAAGAAATCGCCGCATAGCTCAGGAAAAATTGTATTTCATAATTTTTTTCGTCCTGAAATAAACTGCAGCGGAATGAATCAGCAACGCTCGATTCACCCTCGTAATCCATCGGATTTTGCGCGAGCCGCATGTCAACAAAGCTGTCGGCTCCTAAGACACTATCACCATCTGGTCAGTAAGTGTATCTATACAAATTGGTCATCAAAGAGCGCATTTGAATCCTATTAAATAGTGCAGCCGATATTTCTTTGGTAATTATACTAAAGAAAATGAACAAAACTTGTCAAAATGTCGCGTGATTCTCTGAGATATACTTAGGCCTATAGGATCTCCAAATCATTGAATTATTTTTTTAGGCCGAAATTCTTCTTCTATCGTGAATACAGAACTATTATAAAAGCATTTTTTACCGTGATGATTTTACGTCAACCATTACAGCTAAGACTTATCTGACAAAACTAAACAAAAGACATGATATTACAATTTTTTTGTATCTGGTTTCAACAGAAGAACCATTGGGAAACCGATGTCGTGACTTGGCCGTATACCTTGGTTAAAAGAAATATATAAAATAAAAATAAAATGATTAAATAGGCCTTTGAAAGAGAGCCAAATAAATAAATTTCTGATATATGATATAAGTAACTGATTGGGTACTCAACATGTATGAGTTTTGGCAAAACTTCAAGGCTAACAGCGAAGGAAACAGCTCTCATTTGGCTCAAATTACCTCTACACGGCGTGTTTAATTTCACGGGAAAATAGAAAACAATTAATTTTATAGAAACAGTTTACATAGATATTTCTGCTTGAGTTGTGAAAGGTGTGAGTGCCACAGCGAAATTTCTGTTTCTGTTACTTGTCGTAAACTTCGTGTTTCAAACTCTCTGTATTAATGAACATGAAAATTAACTTAACTCTTTGTTATGAACCGTAAGGAAATGGAAGAGAAAACAAGATACTCAGTACTGGACAACACGTTAAATACAAACCACGGGCTAAAAATCAAATACACGTTTCACTCGATTGATACATAATTTGCTCCAAATTAGTGACAAATTAGTGACTCCTTTGGCTATTCAGCGTACGGAAGGAAACCTTTTCTTTCCTGTCATAATGATTGATGTCCGACCAATAATTTCATGTTTAGATTTAAGTGACGGGTACACCTGTTGCTGCCTAGTGCCTCAGGCTGGGGGCTTTCTTAAGCATTTGCTTCAAAAATATTATAGATGTCTTTTCCCCTATCGTACTTTCATTAAATAC